TTTTTAAATCTAAAAAATAAATTGCCAAGAACAGAATGCCTGATTAGCCTGCCTGTGTGCGTGTAAAGCTTTATTTATACTTTGCTAAAGGCCATCATAAAGGCAATTTCATTATTCCTGAACCGGCTGTTTATTTTTACTGATTTTAAAAATGCAGCATTTTGCAAAGATTGATTTTTATGTGAGGCGCCACTTTGTATGATTCTTTTTTTTCTTTTTTTTCAAACTTTGACTTGACTTAATTGGCACTGCTAACAGTCAGCTTGACAAAGCAAATCAGCGCTTCTCACCGCTGCACCAGTTCAAAGCACTTCCTGTGAAGTCTTTCTCAGAGGTTGTCACTATGATGGGCAGCTTTAACATCAAACCTAATGATCAAAAACTTTCCGTACTCCGGAGACACGATCATTCATATTTAAACGGATCGGGATTTTAAAATTTTAATGCGAGTTTCAAAGAAATGAAAGGATCCAGGTACGATGCCACAAATGACTGTAACTACGGTTGTTACTGATTTTAAACATTTACGCTTCACCGTCACATTTAACATTTCTGCCACGTCAAAATGTTTGCATTTGGTCTCTGCAGATTTGTGTTAGCGTCTTGAGAAAGTTGTACTCGTTTCTGCAAATAACACTCACTCCTCTGTCTGCGTGTGTGTTTATGTGTGCGTTTATGTGTGCATTCGCATCAGTTCGTAAGTGACAGTATGGTCAAAGTGGCAGGACAGGGGAGTGGGCAACACTTCATTAAAGTGCAGCAATACTCCACTCAGTCTCCCTCCCATGCATACACACCAGGTGCAGACCACTTCATTTAGTCTGAGAGATAGAAAGGACAGACCCCAATGGATTCTCCTATTAATCTTTAATGAGCCCCCGGGCCTGAAAACTGCCTGCCTGCCTCTACTTTTCCACATCCAGGAAACAAACAATGACTCGGCTGGAAAACACATCGGCCGCCGGCCCTCGTACCTGCCTGTCTGCCTGCTAGCCATTAACCCCCCAACTCGACCCTGAATTATTAATGCTTCTATCCTTTGCTTTGCTCGCTCGGCCCCCTCCCAGCAACGGGAATGGGCGACGTCTTGATTGTGTGGTTTGCAAAGTGTGGCGATGCCTCTCAGAGTGTCTCCAGCTGGACTTCTGAAAAGGATGCCGAAGTAAAAAAAAAAAATTGTTCCATTAAACCGGTCGAATCAAGTTGTCGCCAAAATTGTCTGAGAAAAACGATTTTTTTTGGGTTTTTTTTTACAGTGAGTACTTCCTTTTTTTTAATTGCACGTCTCTTCCCATCATCTCTTTTGAAGCTTTCAGTCATTTCACAGAAAGTTCATCAGCAGATGGCGTTATCCATGTTTCACTAGTAAACTTTCTATTGTGTTGATGTTATTTGACGACAACTGGCAAATCCATCTATGCACATTAGCCCATGGGAGTTGCCATGAATGAATAATATGATGTTGTTAATACATTCTTCCCGGCACACTTTGTCTTTTATAAATGTCTCTCATTTTGTTCCTCTAATGAAATAAAACAGCGTGTGCTGTGATGAATGTGGATCTCATTTGGTCTTCCCCAGATAGCGACTCCTCTCCCCCCTCTGATGTCCCCCTGCCTCACTTCCTCATCTCCTGATAAGTGTTGAATAGTATTAGGACTAGGCGCTTTGAGGTGCTATTGTTTCTCTGCCTGCTGGGTTTTTTGCTCTGGTTTTTGTGTGTTTTCTTTCTAATGCGCACATGAACAAGGCTGCATGGTTTTGGCAAATATTCAGTGGAGGATTAGATCATAGGTTTGCACCATTTTATAGAAGAGTTTTTCTGCAATGTCAAAATGACACATTAGAATGTTCTCTTTTAAAATATTATTATTATTACATAACTTCTTTATGATCATGTAAAAAAACTTGGAATTCGGTGCTTCTCTCCACCGATCAGAGAGAGCTCTTTTAAGAGCCACGCTGGCTTCTTTATAGTGTTCCCCATAGTGCTTATATTATCAACTCTGTATCCAGGAGACTGAGGCAGAACACTTTAATGTTCTTCTTCATTGAGCCATTTTTGAACTAAATTTCTTATTTGATGATGCAGAGAATATTGAATATTATTAGATACAGCCACACTAAAAGTTGCAGAATATAGCACTGAAACTTTATTGCATTTATGATGCAATTGTCTAAGTTGTAAGTGCTGCACTACTGTAAGGGGGATGGATGGATTACAAATTGTCAGCATGTCTAACATGTTTGCTATTGTGATGGAAGATCAGTGATTCCAATCATTTAAATAAATAAATCAATTGTATTAATGTTGGTGGTGGTTGTGTAAACTGCATTGTGTTGCACAGCTTGTTCACACACAAATTGGGCAAAACAGCGATGAGACATTATAAGACTGTCCTGCGCTATTCTGCACTGTATGTAGCATATATCATGTCTTGTACAAAAACCCAGAGAGAGTCAGTGGAATGAATAAAAAGTTGACTTGGATGCTAAATAAATGTTGCATGGAGAGGTTAGCTGGCTAATGGCTTCGATGTAAAAAGCACGTTATTTATACTTTGTGTTATTACACTAATGATGATGTTTTCAATACCTTGTTTTGGGGGGATTCAGGGCTTTTCAGAAATAATGTTAGAAGTAAGCCCTTTTTTAATTTCTTGCGAAACGTTTGTTCTGCAGTTAGCTCAACAACAATTACAATTAAAATTTTTGCAAAGCAGTACTTTTTTTGGTAGGGGATTTTCTGAACAGTTGCTAGGGGGCTAGAAAAAGCCTCTTTCGACGCTGAAACAAGGAGATGATGTATGATGATCACTGCTATAAGTGGCAGGGAAGTCGAGTGCCAAAGCTGATATGAAGAAAAGCTAAATCATGAAACAGAAAGTTGAATGTCTATGGATCAAAACGTTTAAGATTTATGCATCTCTTCAAATTTAGAATAGAAAACAGTCACAGGTAGCCAAATCTGTGACCAAAACCAAATCTTGCTAAAAGCAATGTGGTCAGCAGTGGTTTTGCTCATGTGGTGTAAAAGATGCTGTTTTTCATCAGTGTTTCCCACTGCATGATGAAATAAGTGTATGTGGTGGTTTGGCCAAAGGTTTTTCATGAGGTTAAAGTAAATCTTGGTGCTGATGGACTAACTTGGAAGAATTCAGGGTGCAAAGTTCAGTGCAAAGCAATGCTTATGCTCCTAGTGTGGTCTTGTCTCAGTGTATTAGTCAAATCGCCAGCGATTGGCCCTGACATTGAAGTTGGGTCAGTTTGGCACAGAGGTTGTCTGGTTTAAAGCTCCACACAGCCACACTTTATTAGCAGGAAGACTGGGAGTGCACTGGGAAATTTAGAGGTGGGCATGGTGAAATGAGCTAAATTTCAATTAGAGGTGCTCAGTGGTTTTAATGGGTGGAGTCCCAGAATTGTACGATTTCACCAAGTATGAGACGCATTAGATTTCAGCATTAGTCATTAGTGTTTGAACGCTTATTCCTAACCTGGTCCCTGGATGGCATAGAACAAAACAAAACAAAACAAGGTGTAAAATAAAAGAAATGTACGTCCTCAGAGTCCCAGGTGTGTATCCCTGTAAATATAAAAAGACATTTAATTAATATCTAAATTCCTGTAACTTTTCTAACTATCTAGAGTCCTTGAAAATTCAGGTTTTTGTCTGTTTGTAAATAATGCGTATGCTGCATTTGTCACGTTTGTTGACGTTTCTGTTTTCACTGTTACAGTCAGCACTTCGGGCTGGCAGAAGACGACTTAAATTAAAAGACAGCAGCCGAAAGTTCTTCACACTCATGCTTACACTCGTGTGCTGCCCTGTAGCTCCATGTCCTCAAGGCAACCAAAGTGTCATGGCAACCGTACGGCAGCCACGGTAACAGCAGGCTCATTTTCATACTGATGAGGCCAGTTGCCGGGGAGGCCTGCGCCTCTGCTGCCGCGGCCGCTCGCTCCTCTCTCCTCTCCAATGTCGCCCTGAAATTTTAATGACCTTCTTTCTCTGCTTCTCATTTTTCTCCTCTCAGTGCACCTTGTGTGTGTTTGTGCACGCGTGTGTGTCATGAATGTCAAGTTCCCTGTCCAAACTGACACGCACAAAGTGTCCACAGTTAATACAAGAAGAGAACAAAGGCGATGTAATTTTGATGGCGTACGGCTGTAAAGGGCATGTATTTTTATGGCTCTGGAAAACCTCCTCTGGTCTGCTCCTCTTGGCCACATCAGGTTTGCATTTAAGACTTTTTGGGTGGTGGACGGCACTGTTTTTGTGTCAGCATGCAAACAGAAAGGCAGGAAACAAGATGGGTGAGGAATATCGGCTCGTAAATGGCCTAATCCAGCAGCGTTGATCGTGGTCTTGTCTGTTTGTTGTACCAACTAGGAAACGACACTAGGTCCTGAAGATATAACGGAGGTTCGGTTCTCTAACTTGACACATTTTCAACACGTTGACACGCCGGTTATGCATTGCTGATCTCTGAAGTCTGTCTTGAAAACCTCCTGCTGGATCATAGCCGCACATCTCGGAGGTCTGTGAGAAACCATACGCTTCTTGGACTGCGTTCAACTGACGTGAACGTTGGCCAACTCACGGCCGAGCACGAGTGCCCAGTGTGACATATGGACCAACTGGAGTGGCAGAAAATGCTGTGTAGCCTGTTGACAACATCATTTTCTGTAAAGCATAGATAATGTGAGTGACTGTCAACCACTTCATTGGCTGGCAAGAGAAACTGGAAAATTGTGTATGCGGTTTCATCCTGCAGACATTTAGTCATGGGTGTGTGTTGCCAACAGTCGTATGGACATCATTCAGTCCTTGAACTAAAACAGGATTCATCTACCTCACGCTTGTAATCTGGTGGCTGAGCTGAATGTTTCAGATTAATCTGTTTATGTAAAAGAGATTCAGGCTCAAGTCTTCTTGTGCTTTTTGAGTGTCACTCACACCAAATTCTTCTTTTTTTTCTTCTTTTGTTTCGTTCCAGGAGGAAGCGGCAAGAGAAGAAGAAAACGGACGGATCGAGCCTGTTGGCCGAGCTGACTCCATTGACCACACTGCTGTGAGATCACTAGAGTAAGTCACTCGCTGATCAGCGTCTTTGCCTTCGCTAGAATGATGGTTGTAGAGGACGCGCAGCTTTGTCAATCTCATCCTCTCCAAGTGACTCTGACCAGAAGATCATTCAACCTTTGCTGGTCAATAATTGCACTATACATTGAATTATGTGTGTTTAAACTAAATGTATTGGCTGAAACTTGCAATATTTGTGGTGTCGCCACACCTCTGTAAGCCAGCGCCTGATGTCTTGCTAATACTGCGATACTGTTTCCTCATCTCAGCAACCTGGTACGCGCAGTGTTAAGTATGATGGACACAACCTAACACGAAGAAGTAACAACTTTGGTTGTTCGAGACTAGAATATCTCTTCAGAGTTGACCGTTGTAAATCTGTTCTCCGCTTGCTTTCTTCACATAACAGGCACTTAAAAGCTAAAGCAGCAGGTTCTATATTGTAGCCGAGGTTTGTTTGTGGAAAATCTCATTTTCAGCCCTGCTTTCTGATTTACATAATTCTCTTTTGTGGGAGCAAAATGATCCTCGTCTCGCCATCAGAGCTCTCCCACGCACTAACCCATTCAGCTTCTGTTATTAACAACTGTGTTTTGTTTTGTTATTTTGCTCCATTGCATGCTTCCAGTTTAATATGCAGGTATGGTATTATTATTCCTGTGATTTCCCAGAGACTCTGGTTTCTCCTGCCTCTTAGTTGTCAGTAAGGGGCCCATTTTCCCTGTGCTAATCATAGTCGTTGTATCAAAGCTGTGGATGGATTAGATTTTGCATCTTTATAATATTTGCCAGTGTATGGTCAGCCTCAGAAATGCAAATAGCTGGAACTGTTTTGGGTTTTCTTTGCTTTTAAATGGATATCAGCACACATTCTAATTTACATATAAATGCTTTAAGAATGCAACTTTCTGTCAGTTTTTTCATTATTAGGTCTCCCCCGTCGCTGTTTTCAGTTTCTACATGCAAAAGCCAAAAACATCAGTAAACTTGAGCTTTTTGTAGAACTTTTTGGAACGTTTTGGTTTGTTGCTTACTCAAGGACATCAGACGTGCTTTTAAAAAATAAAAATAAAAATACCTCTGCAGAAATGCACAAACATATCTTGTTTGTCAAGTCACTGATGCACACACCTCTCAAATCTGAGTAACATGTACCATTTGTTCTCAAGGAACCTGATATGTTGATCCAGCATCTTGTCAGGAAGTTGCTTCCTTTCTTCTTTTTTTCTTGCCAAGTTTGACTGTGCATTTCAGCAGAGTGCTGCCAGAAGAGATTTTCCAGCAGAGCAGAGGAAGCTGAATTCCTCTTTAGGGAACTTATTAGTGCTACAGTGTTAAATTTCAAATTTTGACATATTTCTTTCTTGGATAAGTGGATGTTAAATGTGTCTGTGTGGTGCGGTTACATTGATTTGACTTGATTGTTTTCTGTACCATTTGGTTTAGGAACTTTCTAATTAACACTCAGTTTCTACCCCACTGTGTACAACTTCAAACAGCACCCATTCGCTTACATGCAGCTTAATTCCGGCTTTGAAAGGGCAATTTTCCACTCCACAGATATTAATGTGTTGTAGGATTAAGGTCCCATGCACCAAAAAGCAAACACACTGCATTTGTCTCATTACACCCTCTGAAGAGCATCTCAAGTCCGAATTGGAGGTGTGAGGGTTTTTTTGAAAACCCATTTTTTTTTGTTTTCCCCGTACATGTGTTTGATTTCTTTGGATTGCTCTGTTTTATTGTGCTTTTTGTCTCCTCTGACTTCTATTTTTATTTGTTTGTTTGCACCACTGAGCTCTTGTCATAATGTTTCTGTCTTCATTGCCTCATTTCCTGTTTTTATTTTTGCCCACATGGTGTCACCCCTCTCCTCTGATCTCCACCCCGCACCTCCTCCCCAACCCCCCTACCCACCCCCGTCTCTCTCTGTCATTCATCCGTCTCCGATCCCAGAGACATTGTCAAACTGGTGGAGGTGTCAAACGACGGTGGGCCCCTGGGGATCCACGTGGTGCCTTTCAGTGGCAGGGACCGCAGGTAAAAATAACCAGAGCAGAACCGCTGTGCTCTTCAGACAGGCTAGAAGAAAATAAATCTTAGGGCCATTCAGACATGGTGTCCACGGGTTTAACTATGTTAACAGGTTTTTGCATAAAGGTCTTAGATATTTAAAATATGTGTGCGCAAAGGGCCAATTCAGCCCAATTCAGCCTTGTTTTTGTTCTGTGACCTGCAGTGCTTTTTATCCATCTAGATTCTTTTGATACCAGTTGCCAGTTCTGGGGTTTCATCTGTCTGATTGCTCTTGAATATATTGCAGTCCAGCTGCAGTAGCCTTATGATGCTCAAACAGCCAGAAAATACATTTAATGTATCGAGTCTCATGTCGGAACTTTCTTTCTAACCAACTTCTACCAACTTGCATGCATCTATTCATGACAGTGTTACAAGACGTAAATATTGACAGCAATAGCTGTAAGATTAGCTACAGTAGCTGCGCCTCATTAGGTGGATGTATACAGTAAGAAATGAGTTCCTGTAGGTAACTGCTCATAGCAAAGTTTGTGGGGATTTTTTTTGTCTTTAAGTAAGCAGATCATGAATTCTGGATAAAGACATTCCTGCTGATTTTCCTTTTTTTTTTCCCTGTGCCATCACACTGGTCTTGAGTTTTCATTAAATCCAAAACAATCAGGCTAAAGTCCAATATTTGTTTACTTTGTTTAATACAGCATGTCATAGAATTTTAAAATTTCTTCATGAATATGCCAAAAAGCTTTAGTTATAAATGTGGTTTAGTTTGTGGCAACTTATTTATAAAGTATTGTACTTTTGATTAAAAACGCCACTATGTTTAAATTAAATTGTGCTATGGCCACAGTCCAGTTTTTCCAGTGTTTCCAGTTTGGCCTCACTAAGAGGGGACAGATGTTGCTGGTCCACTTTGCACCCGAGCCGAGTGTTTTCCCTTCATAGATGAGAAAGTTTGCTGGACAACGACTTGGGGCAAAATATCGAGTCGTTTATTTGCAGTTTATGCATCAGAAACTGTTCAATAAACCGTTTTTTGATCATCGTTTTGAGACATGTCTGCAGATAGTGACGTAAAGAATGTGTTTTTTCTTGATTGCGTCATTGCTCGGCTGTTTTCGGATTCTCAGTCTTCATGCTTGGCTGGCTTTTGCTGTGCTGCATCACATTTCTAAAGCCAATATCTCAAAAACTGGCCAAAGTACAACATAACTATCTAGACTGATGAATAGCACTGCAGAGCACACAAAAGCGCTATAAAGATCAGACTCTTATGTATTTGGGGTTCCACAGGAAAGTGTTAGCAATGATGCAGAACACAATTATAACATGTAGCATTATGTTAAATTCTTTCTGCTAATCGCCTGCGTTTAATTAGGATTTTTTGCAAACATTTGGTCTCTGCCTTTCTTTTCTTTTTAAATATATCTTTTCACTTATAGTTTTAGTTTTTGCCACTGGCACACGTCTGACAGGTTTTATATTTAAGAAAAGAAAATAGGAAAAAAGAAAATTGCCCACTTTAGCTGATGACTTGTCAGCGTTATTGTAGTCTCATAAAAGAAATTCTCTTTGGTAGAATTTGGTTTCTGGTAACAAATGTCACGAAATGTGTTAATTTGGCCTTTTTGATTTTTTGCAAAACCCCTGGAGAGAAGCGGGCTGCATTACCTCAGAAACACTCCCTCACAGTAATGCCCATGCATGCCACACATTCCTCTTTGGTGGCAAAGTGTAATAACTTCATCACTCATACAGGCTGAATGACAAGCACGCACACACACACATGCGCGACCACAGAGGTTTTCATGCCGGCATCATGAAGCAATTTGCCAGTTTACAGTGATTAATCATGGCTGTTTGGGGTTTGCAGGTGACCGTTTTATTTCTCTGTGGCTGCTGTCACATCAGCTTTACATTATTTAAAGAATACACTGAGCAGTGCACTCAACACACACACTATACGCTCGCATTCAGAAGCGCACATGGAACAAAACTCTGAAGGAATTAGTGGAATTTCACATCTGGTTTTTGAAGATCCAGATCATGAATGCCTTTGAGGTTATAACAAAACTATAGAGCCAAACCCCTGCAGCTAGCTGTCTGCATAGTTTTAAAGCTGAAGTTTACATGTAGACCTTAAAAAAATAAAAAAAAGCATGAACCCCAGCACTGACCAGGTTATTTAGGTCTAATATAATGTCATAGTGCCAAGGTATTTCCTGTCTCAGATATTTTCCCACCAGCCAACCGCAGCCCCGCACATTCCCAGATAGGACTGTGCGATATGACCAAAATCTCATATCCCGATATAAGACATCTATCGTCCCGATAACGATATAAATCACAAAAATGTAACATTTTCTGTAAATTCTGTGAATCTCGGGCAGCTCGACTTGCCTGAAGTGTTTCCAGCTGCGCGTCGTGTAGCTGGAGTCGAGTGTTTTAACCGATGCATAAAACGACACATTTTTAGACATAAGTTGTAACAGCCGCCGTTTTCTTTGTGAGTATTTATTACACGGCGTGCTGCGGGGAACAGCCCGTTCTAACGTTTGAGTCTAAGGTTTATTTTTTTAGCACCTGACGCCTCTTTTTTGCTTCTCATCCGTAAACACGCTGCATACTCTTTCACGTATTTTCAGTTTATTTTGAAAAGTCTCAACAGGATCTTGAGCTCTATTGTGAAAGGTTTATGTGGAAAATAAACACGCGGACTTGTCCGTCCGTAATGTGGTTATATTAAATACAAGAGAAAGAGAGAACTTTAAGAAATATAGCCACTACAGTGACCATCCAAACGATGAAAAAATATTGCCGTAAACAGTTTTTTGCGACACCACGAAACAAACGATAGCATAAAATGAAACGATAGATGTTTTTATATCGTCATCCGATATCGAACAGCCCTATTCCCAGACTTCCTCTACGTATCAGTCTAAACTAAGACTCCCAAATGCCATCACTGACTGTAAAGTCTCCGTTGTACTTTATTGAAAATCAAGATCATATCACTTTTCTCTCTGCCCAATGTAATCAGCCTAAAAGCACATTTATAATGTGCTTTTCTGCTATTGGGGAAATGTCAGTTTGGGTGGTTCACCAAGATTAAGATGCCCAGCTTTCATCAGAGAAATGGGCCCCTCCACAGCAAATCACATTGTGTTCTCACTCAAATTCAATCAGCCGAATTGTCTCTGAACTTTTTCAACTCCTGAACTTTTCTGCCCCCCGGTGTAATCACATTCTCATTCATATTGAGTTATAAACCCGAGGCGAGGGCAAGTATTAAAGCCTAAAATCAACCCAATTTACCTAGGCAACACTCGCTCACACTACCCTCGAAAAATCCTTGATGCTCTCAGACACGGACTGTATGCCGAAGAAGACTCGATTAGGGTCGCGCCGTCTTCCCTACCCATAGCTGATTTTCTTCCTCGTTCTCTGGTCTATAATCCAAAAAGCGCCCTTTCAGGTGAAGTTAGCCCCTCGCTGTGGCTGTGCGGGGAGTCATAAGCCAGTTTGCCACACTGGATTACAGAGCGACAAGCGTTGAAGCTCAGCATGGCTGAAGAGCTACAGCGTGATATACCAGCTACTGTCTGCCATCAGTCTTTAATACTGTTGTTTTTTTTATTCCTCTCAGAAACCACTCTGTTTACTTTGTATTCAGAAAAAGGACAGAGGAGCTTAAGAGGTTCGAAAATTAACACATGCAAAGCGTCAACCCGACCAGAACTACATTTGAGGTTTTGAATGTGTTGATTGCCTTTGAATAGATGCCTCCCCCACACACAGCCTCTAAAGCACCCTGATGTGATGCGACTATTTTCTCTCATAAGCCTCATTGGTACACTGATGATGCAAATGACAGGACCACACTGTGCTCTCTTCACTAGTACTGCATGATGAAGCAGAGGCAGCAATTAGGCATAGCTGTCTTTTTTGCCAAAAAAAGGGCTTTTCATTAGCTTCACATTGATGATTCTTGAATAACCATCTGGCCATGGGAAGAGGGATTGTTAAAATAAAAAAGAGAATTATTTTCTGTAGTCAGAATAATCTAAACTATATCGAATATCAAAGCGTGGTCGAAGATTTTATAACCCCTCACAAGGACAAAGACTCTTAGCCAGCTTTTATACAGTGTGCAAAAAAGTCCTAGTGTATTCTTCACCCGGCTGTGCAGGCCACAGTGTTTTAACAGCCATGTTGAGTCCACAGACACTGCATCCTCTTTACATGAACTTCTGAACATTTCAGGACTCTTGGCTTGTTGGTCAAGCGTCTGGAGAGAGGAGGGAAGGCCGAGCAGCAGAGCCTCTTCCAGGAGAACGACTGTATCGTCCGTATCAATAACGGAGACCTGCGAAACATCAGATTTGAACAGTAAGACTGCAGCTCACGGGAGCCGTTGTTGAGCTCTGCTGGTCCCTGGTCTTCCTGTGTGAATGGCTTTTTCGCACCATCGCCTCTTCCCTAGCTTTTTAAACCCATAGTCTGAAACATTCTTCTTCTTTTTTTGGCTGCTCTCCTCTCTCCTCATGCCTATTTTACTCCCTCTCCTGCCGGCGCACAGTCTCCTCTGCTGCCTGTCACTGTGCTAAGCTAACCTTTCCCTACTTAACTCCTGTAGGTCAGAGCCTCAATTCCTCAAGTCGTCCCTGCAATCCTCTTAGCCTTTATTCCCTTGTGTTTCAGTAACAGTAACAGCTCCACTGGACTCCTACTCTCGCTACTTTCTCTTTTCTTCTGTCAGAAGGAATGGGAATAAATCTCCTAAAATTCACAGCTTCTCCTTTTTCAGTGCTGTTCATGTTTCATGCTTTTATTCCCTGCCTAACCAAACTCACACATCCACCCATTTTCTAGATCCCGTACGATGCATGCGAACCTATATGCTGTGTATACAGTACATGCAATATCTGCAATGCAGCGATGCTTTTTTGTTTGCGATGCTTTTTTGCCAGCATTACATTTATACAAAGTATATGCATGTTTTAAATGCAAAAAGCTGCTCCAAACTGATGAACGTTATGTAAGACACCTATTATGCAAAGTACCACCCACACGTGACCATGTATAGATGCATCTTGGTGGATTTAACTGTTCCTCGAAACGTAGAGTCAAACATATATTTCCCCATTTAACAAACTAATAAAATCAGAATCTAGTCACACAGATCATATTGGTTGGTTTCTGATAAGTTCAGGCTTTGAGACTTTTGCTACCACCTCATTATAATGGAGATTAATGGGATTTTACTTTAGTATTATCTCTTACATGACACAGAATTGCTGTGTTGATAATACCAGGAATATGCTGTCAGATCTGTTTACTGGGTAGAAATTGAGCAGTTGCACCAAAAGTATGAGTGGAGGTATATAAGAATAATTTGGGTGAACCAACAAACTCCTGGATCCCGGTCATGTTGTCATGTTCCAGCCATTCCCACAGTTGGAGCCACAAGTTATGTGATGGGTGGGAATAAAGCTTCCATACATAGTGTTGCAACAAGTGCATTAGTGCAACAGTTGCTCTTGTTATTTATTTTCATAAGGGGACAGACTACATCTCCTTCGACACTCGATCCAGCCTGAAATTGTAAAGACACCGTGACGAGACCGTCCCCCTGAGGGAAGGTTGTTGGTAGCTGGGAAAAGAGGCCCGGAATTTCACAAAGAAATTCTTCGGCAGCGCGACTTTTGGTTATCGGTCTGGGGGTGGAGGGGGAGCGATAGAAATTCTCGCGGCCTAGCATTTTCTCAAACGTCTGTTCAGCTGTCAGGGGACCCACGTTTGCTTTATTGAAACAGGTGGCGCTAACAAGGCTTTGGTTTTACAGGGCGCTGACAGCCAACATAAGTTTCCATTCACACCTAATGTACACGAGCTCAGACCGAAGGGGTTTTAAAAGAGGATTTTCTGCAAAGTATTCGACGACTGGAGGTCTCCTTCATCTGGAGCCAAATGAGGGGATTATGCGATGGAGCTGTTGGGGAGGGTTCAGTCACTTTCTAGAGCCGCTCACGCTGGCAATGAGTATTAATTAACATGTCAGAATGTTCAGGTGGGCGAAGATGGATTTTATATATAGTACGACTGGGTGTGTGTGTTTGAGAGACACTGGGTAGATGGAGTGCTCCACTTGGCAAGTTTGTACAGACAAGTATTGCACTTGATTGTTAAGTATGTTGAGTTTTGCCTCTGTGTCTATCCTTTGTTCTCTCCATGTCCTTAAACCATCGTAAAACTGGTAAATTTCCTCCCACTGTCTTTATCCCAGAGCCCAGAATATGTTCCGTCAAGCCATGCGCTCTCCGGTCATCATGTTCCACGTGGTGCCGTCATCGATGAAGGCCCACTACGAGCAGCTGTCCCACGCTGAGAGGAACCCCGTGTACGCCTCGGGCCGTTTCAGCCCCGACTCCCTCAGCGGCAGCACTGTGTCAGGCATCGACCACACGCCACAGCGGATGTCCCGGCACGGTTCCCAAACGCACCCACACTCCCATCCGTACCCCCATGTGCTCTCAGAGCCGACTGACGGTTACCCCCCTCTGCTTCACCCCGCGGTTTCTGCGGCCAAGCCCCCGACAGGTCACGCCCATTCACCGCAGAAGGGGATGAATTCCACGCCAGCAGGAGGCTATACGAAAAAAGTCGGGAGGAGGCTCAGCATTCAGCTAAAGAAAGGTGAGGAGAGGTCTCCACAAAAACGCACAAACTCTGCCTTAGTGTTGGTTTCAACTCAAAGACAATAGATCATAAACCATAACTAGTCTCATAAGCTTATTATTAACATTAATTATGTCTTAGAATGTCATGAGGTTAAGTTTTTCATTGTTAAGTAAATATTAACACATGATCCACAAAAACATTTGGAGCTTTCATCATCAGAAAAGATCTTTATTGTTTCTGAGGAAGAAAAAAGCAAAGTCATCCTAGCCGCTGTAAAAGGGTTGGGTTTGTTGTTGTTTTTGAAGCATACTGAGACTCTTTCCAGAGGATCTGTGAGTCTCCTCTCGTGCTGTGCATTTCTCTGGCTTTTTAAGATTTAGAGGAATACACAGCATCAGTCTAACCTTTTTATTTCTACCCGATAAACAAGCAGCTTCCCGATTCCTTGCAAGCAAGTGTAGGAACACTGTTGGAAGATGGTTCAAGCACGGAAGCGTGGAATATGTGAACGAGGCTGTAAGAGGCTTAAAAACCCCATCCAGAGCTATCCGTACTGATGTAAGATGTGAAAAAGTGGGTGATAAAAGCAAACAGCATCTGCTTAGATGGAAATGTGGAGCAACAGGCGACGTTAGGACTGCAAAGCTGCAGGGATCCTGGTGTACGCTTTGACTGACAGTGGACACAGGTGGTGCAAACCTCTGCCAACAGGATTCCAGGTGTCGGTGCCAGGTCTCAGGGCCAGAGAGCTTGTTGCTAAGCAGCCGCTCGTCCCCGTGCACTGTCAAATGCCACAGCAAAGAGTCTGACAGGGCTGCACCATATGCCCGTTGAAGTTTTCACCCAAACCTGTCCTCTCTCATGGGGCGGGAATCAAGCCAGAACATAAAACATAAAAACGTCCAGCTGCTTTTTAAAAATTCCTGACTCACAGTTCTTACCATCCATTCTTCTGTCAGGTTTTTTTCACTCTTCTCATCCTCATCTGCCCTCTCGCTGACAAAACACTTGTGAAAACGCTGCATTCTGTGCATGATATGGCAGGAGATCTGCTATGTTCACAGTCAAAGATGTTATCTTTTCTCATTCCACCTTTGTTTGCTGTTGTTGGAGCAGACACTTACATGGATTAACAGTGATTCCCAAGAGGCTGTTTGGCTCATCTGTTTTGTTTTGAGTACCGACTTAAGCCTACAGCTTTGAGCGCAGATTAAGCTCCTGCATTTCTTATGTGCTTGAATCAGACACCAGGCTCCTTGCAAATCCCAGGGAGTATCAAAATCAATCACAGAATCTTATTTCTGCACAGGAAATTGCTTAGGTATGTCTTAATCAAGCTAATGGGAGTTTTAAAGATCCTCCTCCCTGTTTAAAGCCAGGAACTCTACAAGCATTTACCGGTGAGTTTAATGCCGCACCTCAAATGCCTGCGGGAAGTTGATTGGCTCATCAATGCAGGGGATTAGGTAGAGGATGTGAAACAGGATGGCTAAGTGTTGTGCTATTCTTTTCATCGGCTCATTCAGACAGGCAGGGGGGGATTAAGGCCAAAACCCCTATACAGCAAAAATGCTCCTCATTGTTCTTATGTTAACTTTTTTTGACACACATATCTGTTCAAATGGTTTATTTACAGAAACATATCACACGATCACAAGTTCTGAGCACTTGTACAGTAATCTTTATGTGGGAGAAGTTACTCAAGTATGTTGATTATCTGGAGAAATACACCAGACATTGTGCTGTTTTTTCCTTCACACATGCTGCAGAGCAGTCTGTCAGACATCCACTCACGACCGTAAATGCTCAGTTCAGTTTTAATTCACTGCTTTTTTTTTACCTGCAGTATCTGCAGTTGTCCGGTCCTGCTCGTTTAGACGTTTCTGTTCTGGACCTGCAGGTTTTGTGTAGAAAGGTTTAGAGCTGCATTGCATTTGCAGATTAAAAGTTCTGGTTACCCGCTCCCTAACCCTGTTGTGTAATGCGTGTTGTTTTTTTTGACCCAGGTTGTTTTTCAATTTCCAATTAAAAATCAAGCAAAAGTATTACATTTCTTCAGGCTGAACTTTCTTATTGGCACAACATAATTGCGTGTAATTATTGACTGGTTCAAACTGAGACTTTAAAAGCATGCATTTTCATTGCCCTGCAATGTACAAACTACTTTAATTATTCACCACAAACCTACTTAAGTGCTGTGCTGACAGGGTAGAGGATTTCTCTTCATTTCCTGCAACTTCAAGTTGCCCAATAATAGGAAATAGTTTGTTTGTCTGCTAGGAATATGGATAATATGAGACAGAGACCTGCGTTCCTAATGGCTCATAATGATGCACTCGTACGAGGTTGCAGGCAAAACTTACAAACGTACACAAGCCAAATGCAATCCGCCCACAGAAACACAGGTTAATGAGCACATGTAGATCAACAACATCTCGGGGTACTGTGTGCCTTATAGGCCAGGTCACGAGGGAAAGGAGAGACTCGTTGGTGTATTCTTCTCAAAACACAGAGTCAGTTTTCATAAATGATGGTGTGAGAGGCATTTATTGTGAAATTTACAGCACCGGTTGTCGCTGTAATGCTGATTATATTCCCTCTGGTTTTTTTCAGCATTGTGATATGCTACTGATTATTTCCTGAAAGTATGATGTAATCATTCAGCTGCATGCTGAGCTGAATCAGACAGAATCGGGCGGATCGTGTTTATCACGATGTTGCAGTAGTAAATTCACAGTGGCCTAAACAACGGCCTCACTTATTAACGTGGATTGCAGTTATCTCTTCTGACACTGGGGGACGCACTCTTTAATTCAGGTAAGGTGGGCCACTTGTTACTGGATGATGGTGCTGGAAAAACTGGTTAGGAGTGTGCTCTATTAAAAGAGATGAGGTACTCATTGTTAATGGGTCAAGTGTTCCCCTCGGGTGGGACAACTATATTCATACCAACCCTTTACTCCTAATGAAAGAACCCACTTGACTCTCAGCTAAATGTCTCCCAAAACACCAGCCAATATTATTGCCCTCTCAGATACAGGAGAGTTTTATCAGTTGAATGTTAACATATTTTTAGCAGCTTGAGATCCAGAGGTACAGAGGAGACTGTGCGTCAAGATAAAACCAGATCCTATCATTCGATTTTGGATCCTCACTTATTCACCCGCTCATCCCGCAGGCCCCGAGGGACTCGGCTTCAGTATAACGTCACGGGATGTTCCCATCGGGGGCTCAGCACCCATCTACGTGAAGAATATCCTGCCTAGAGGAGCTGCTATCCAAGATGGCCGTCTCAAGGCAGGAGACAGGTTGCTAGAAGTAAGTGCAGAAAAGTGCGGTAATGCTTTACAAGGCGTGTGTGAGGAGGTTTTAATTTAGTCATTTAATAAAGTCTTAGATGGCGATTGTGATCTGGAAGGTAGATGTGCATCACGTAGGAACGGTGATTTCGTTCCAAAACACGCGAAACGGCAATTTTTAATATGTGATATACGCTGCTTGCCATCTGCTGAAGTGTAACAAATTCCTTTCTCGTAACTGTTTTAAATGGAAATGTGGATCCTGAAATGAAATCAAAGACTATGCTTCCACACGCTATCTCGTGCAGCAAAAACAGAACGGCTTTTGAAGTTGCATCATCCCACGTTGCAAACCATTTGCATAAAGGATTACACTGTGCAGCTCTGAATGTATGGGGTTATTCCACCAAAACTTTCAATCCTTTTATCCTCATGTTTTTCTCATTTTCAAACTTTGTTTGAACTAGGGCTAAAGCGACTAGTTGATCGACGAATCAAATTAGAAAACGAACCATCTGCCGCTTTGATAAAAATGTAAAGTGTTGCTGTTTTTCTGTCACGGCCAAAAGGCGTAATTAAGAGATTTGAGTGTTTCACCTTTTTTTAAAACAAGCCTAGATAATAATCCATACAAGATAATGTAGAGTTTAACCCAATTACTGTGCCTCCTCCTGTTCAGGTGAATGGCGTGGACCTGAATGGGCGGACCCAGGAGGAAGTGGTCTCCTTGCTTAGAGCTACACCCATGGGCGGGGCTGTGGGGCTGTTGGTTTTACGCCAGGAGGACTCTTTCCTACCCCGAGAAGTGGTACGTTGGCTGCTCGCCTCACTGCAGCTCTTCACCCTGTCACCATAATGAATTACATATCATGACATATATATGTAACTTATGTATATACAGAGATGGTGTGTTCTGGCACATGTGTGTGAGCACTTCCGTGTGTGATCCTGAGCTGTCACAAGCCCTGTTAATCCTTCCAGTGAGGGCTGTGCCGTCTTCTCATTTCCCAGCTAACACAGCACGCTAGCCGAGCATGCAGATTGATGATCCTGCTCCATCGCCGCACCGCTCTTTATTATCAAGTCGCGGCTAGCCTCGGTGGAAACCTGTAGAGCTGTCTTTTCACCCTCTCCTTTCTTCTCGATTTCACTTTGTCTTCAGTCTTTCATTATCCATCACCCTCCTCTCCATCCTCCTTCACCAGCTCCCTTTCTTTCTTCACATTTGGTGGGTAACCTTCTCTGCATCTGCATTTCCATCTCCTCTCACTGTGTTTTGCCTCCAAGCTGACTCGGTAGATTGATGGATGTGTGGATGAAAAGACAGACGCAGGGCAGGTAGCAGGCAGAGAGTGAAAAACACACTTGGCTTGAATATCAATCAGGCGTAGTCTACACACATTACATTTTACAAACTGAAATACAACTGTTTGTGAGCAGTTTTTGGATGCTGCTGCTGTCACTCAGTCTTGGCAGAAGCCACTCTCAGTGATTCATGCATACTGATGCTAATTTAGTTTTCATGTTTGTTTATGTTCATGAAGTTCATGTTTTTACATGGTGCCAGATGTTGTACTTAATTATCTTTGCAGAAACATGTAACAGGATGCTCGGCATGTATGGCGTTGCCTCAAAGTTGTGTTTTTTAATCAGGAAGGGAGCTTATAATGACCAAGGCAGAAGCAAGATGGCAGAACACAGAGAATTAAGTGGCTTTATTAATGTGTGGGAAGTGAACAGTGGAGGCTGTGGGTGCGCTTTAAACCACATTGGTGTTTACTCTACAGCAACAGTCAAGGTTTCTCTGCTATCTCCCTACCTCTGCTAGCTTTAACACACAGCTTATCGAGTACTAACGTGAGTAATGGCACCAAACAGCCTTAAATCTCTGCTCTGCTGTAGCAAAAATTTATTTCTCCCTCTACCTTCAGAAGCCATGACAGCCAGCAGAGCCACAAACAGCTATTCACTAGCAAGCGGTGCCAATCAAACGGCTGATTGGTGACAATTATCACAGTGAGCGATGCAGATGAGGCTATTGGCTGGCTGTCGCCATGGGTGAAGTTTGATGAGGCAAACTGCCACACTGGTCGATACTCATCTTTAGATTACAGCAGAGCTTTAAGTCTGGCTGACTCTGCATAGCTGGTAGTTAGATGGCAGGATTTATTTGATCTGTGGTTATCAGCTGCAGAGGGTGGAGAGTGCGATGTGAAAGGGCTGAAATGGGACTCGAGGGAGATGAGGTCCAGTGCTCAAAATGAGCAGCTCGAGTCTCCATCTAAAGCTAGACTGCACTTTTTCTTCTGCGTTTTAGAGCCTGTAGAGACGAAACAGTCTGTCAGTTAACAACAACATAAGGGTGAAAGATGTTCTAAATTCACAGTAGCGCATTACTTGGGTAATTTAAGCTAAAAAAAACGAGATCGGGCTTTCTTGGCACATAGTTATGAATTACAAATGGCGATTACTAAGCCTAATATATTAAATCTAATGTAGAGTAATGAAAAGAATTAAGTGAGCAGCTGTTGTATTACAGGTGACATAATTCTCAGCAGGTATAAAAGCCCTTAATCTAAGCTGAACAATCTATTTTATCACTAATGTGAAACTACATCAGTGTGACACGTAATATGCTGAGCAGGAAATTGAGCTTACACTGTAATGGTAGGATAACAAAGAAATTGGAAATGTTATTCAGATTTGCTGTATTTTTATTCAAATTCCTGCATCACCAATACAAGAATCTGGCATAAAATCACATTTAGTTTAGGAGAGAAGCAGGATTGAAAAAAGCTAAACTGTGCCTTTACAGTTTTGAATGTAGTTAAATTCAAGCAACTTTTTCAAAGCGGTTACTAAACTGTGCCGAATGCATTCGACGATCCTTTTTGAACCGCACTTTGGGCGTGGCCAAATTCTGGTGCTCACCAAGATTTGTTGTTGTTGTTTTGTTTGATGACTGATGCTGACTTTTTATTTACAGTCAAAACTGTGTGAAAGTTTCAGAATCTCGGTCTACACGGAGCATTTTACTTGTAAAGATTGTGGCTGTGAATTTCTTCGGGTCGTTTTTCTTGCGATGAAAGCAATCTGGATGTTTGTCTCATCTTGCGATAGGGCACAGCTGGATGGTTAAAAAAATCTAGAGTACATGAAAGTGAAACTGTAAGTTTGTGCAGATGCAAAGGCAGCATTTCGATGATATGACATTTTGTCTTTGCGACCGCTTCAGTTGTTTCCGAGCCACGGTTGATACTCAAAGTCTCTGCACTCGTCAGATTTATCGTTTTCATGTCCTGCATGCGCTTTTTCTTGAACTGCCTAACTTTATCCACTAGTTCCCTGATTTCTGTTATAGTCGAATGTTCACTGTTTATGTAAATGAGTATATTTTATTTCCTGATTACTTTTGGTTCTTCTGTCCCTCCTCCATCCTCTAGAATGCTGAGCCCCAGATGCAAATCCCCAGAGATTTGGTAAGACACCACCCTTACACCGACCTGCAACAAACCTCCACCTCTCTTCTTTAACAACTCTTTATTTAGCCCAAACTCCCCCTCCCGCTCTTATCACCCAACTTATGCATGCATCCAGCCTCTGCTGCTAAACTAGCTGGTTAATCAGAGTGCAAGTCAGTACCCTACCTATAGTGTTAGTCACTAATTTAAATCTCTAGCTAGAGTCGCTGTAACAAGTCACAATTTCATGCTTCATCAGTATGTGTGGCTGTTGAAGTTGTGCTGCAGTATAATTTGCTCCATAACTCCCTTCAGAGCTGTGTTTGCCAGTGAAGGTGGAAGTTTGCTGTATTTGTTAGCTGTGGATAAGGCTGTCAGTCTGGCCTTGTTGCTGCAGACCCGCTCCGATATGTGAGGCGAATAACAAACCCAGTTTAGTTTAGGGGGAAATGCAGACAGTGCAGTGAAACGTGCACAGACACTTTGACAGCTTTAATAGATTAACGGTTTCCGTAATTGAGGAATTTAACATAAAGTATATAGCGTGCTATAAATGTCTGACAGAGATTCTTAATCTTGGGATTGTACCCTATGGAGTATGTTTCCGAATCTACCTTCTGTGAATAATCAGCCCTCATCAGGATGTACAGTGTGTCCAACTGTTACAGTGTGGTCTTTATGGCACACATTACCCAAAAAGGCTCTCGATTGCAGCAGCTGTTAAAAGCTCGTCTGTTTTTACTGCTCGTATTAAAAAGCTATTCAGATTTCCATAATTCTCCATTTACATGCCAAATTTGATTTGTGATTTAACAGACTTCACGTCTTCACATCTGGCCTTACCTTCAGGTTACATCTGGCTGAGTGCAGGTAATTGGTTAGGTTTTTGCGTGGCACATTAGAAGTGTAATTGCCCAGTTAATCTGATTGGCGGTTCTACCTGCCAGCTGTGGGGATGATCCTCGTCGTGACGAAGCGTTATGGCGGGGCGTTGTTGACTATTGTGACTGCAGCTGGCACATTTCATATGTGTGCACATGTGCAGAAAAGATGACGCGTATCATTCCAGAAGCATTAGAATAAGTGCAGATAAACACCACTGTGTCTCCCGTTGCTGCATTTCAATGTCACATTTTAAAGTCGGAATGGTATAAGCCATCCTTGGAAGAATTGTGCTGTTTTCCTTCCAAAAGTGCACTATAAGTTTAAACTTTTGGAATATTTATTGGGAATTAATTGCTTTGCTTTTGCCTTTTACTCACATTTCTTTTTCTCAGTAATGTAAAGAACAATCCAGGTGGTCTGTGTGGTTTGTGTAGCAGTTTCATGTGGTTTTGTCTCTTTCTGACTCTGATCTTTTTAGGAATTGATGCTAGCCTAATTATTTATATATATATAATGTAGCAATTTGCAATTTGCGTCTTTAATGCAAGAAAATAATGTCCGTTTCCTCAATTTTGGATGTTTCCCACCCTAAAGATCGATGTGAACCAGAGCCAGACGGATAAGAAAAAGCACCACAGTCCTGCTGTCTCCTCTCGCTTCTCTTTTCAACTCCCTTCTTTCCTGCTTTCCAAACTCCAAACCTCCAGATGAGCCTTCTCCTTACCCTTTCCCGGAACATCAACTGCCATAATGGATTCAGTGCCTTTCAGATGTTATCTGTTGTCAGGCGCCTCATTTTAAACATCTCACTGCCGATAACAGCAACAATAGCAGAGGCACCATGATGGTGTAAGGGGCAGGGAGTGGGTCCGAAAGAACATCTTTTAATGGACATGCAAGTATTAGATAGCTTTCCAATGGAAAAGGCGGGATAACAGCAGTGCCCCTGGGACAGCAGCTCGTTATTATTGTCCTCATTCTCGTATTAGTTTTCTTAAGTGACCACATAATAAAAACAACTATATAGAACATTGTGAAAATTCAAATCACTCTCAAATCATTACTTTTGTTCAGCCAACTGTCCAAAGTTGAAAAGCATTTAATTAAAACATCTAAAGCTTTCAATTCTTTAACAGTAAGCAAAAAGCAGGCTCACGTGCCGCATGGGGAGCTTAATTATGTCTGTTGATTTTCTTAAACTTTTCTGTTATGCATCTCTACAGTGCAGTTAGTCGTGTTAAAAAAAGCTAACAAAACTTACTATGTAGACAGCTTTTAGATCCGCGGCTTTGCCGGCACTCAGCTGGGTTTTTGGAAGCCGGCACAGCATGACTCATCCTTTGAGAGAGCTCTGTCAAGGGTTACACGGCAGACAAAATGCAGCAAGTGAAGTGGAAAAAGCACTCGCTTTATGAAATCGGTCCAATGACCCAAAAATCACGCGCGATTTTACAGTAGTGCTTTAGAGGTTGGCTAAAACTTTTAGTTGTTTTGTCATGTTTACGCGGTAAAGCCACCGTGCTCTCCAATCATTGCAATAAAAATGGCCAATGATTAAGGAGACTCCTGTTTCTTTTAGCACTTCATCCATGGCATTAGCGCCCATGACCCTCTTTGTTACATATTTGGTCAAGTCACTTTAAACTTTCTGGCCAAATAGGTTCTTTATTGCAAGTAGTGTCTTGGACTCAGTAAGTGGTCCATGTCTAAGGGGCTTCTGTGTCTAACCTGTTGACTTTGACTGCTCCCTTTAGCATCCACGGCAGCCTGTGACAGCCGGGAAACACCATTGGCTGATAGAGGTAACTGCTGCATGACATCAACAGCGTGGGCTATTATGTGCTGTATAGGGGGAAAAGGGCATGAAAGGCAAATGAGATACTTTGGGTGGCTCCACAAATAGACTGGGAGTCATTTAAGCAATCCATTGCTTTCCCAGTGGTCTGTAAAAACAAAAGACTTTGTTGGGTTTTCTCTTCTGTCTCTTCCTCGCCCCCTTCTTCTCATTGTTTCGTCTCCTGTCTCTGTCTTTGTTAGTTCCCCTTTTCTTTATTTCACTCCCCCCCCACCTCTCTCTCTGCCTCACACACGCACACTTAAGACACACTTTAAGACTTAAATCCTCTTCTCTGCACCTGGCTGCTACAATACAGTGCTGATCAAAGGCATCCGTCTTTACATGCCTGCTCTGATAGTTTCATAATGGGCCCATAACGTGAACATTCAGCTCCATTGTTTATGCCATTAGTCATACTGGCTTATGGAAAATTACTGCAATGCTATATTGAAAAGCCATCAGCAGGAGCAGCAGTAATGCTACAGCAGCGCCGTGCCAAGATGCTATCTATCACATGTGAATGTTTCTCTCTGCACACAAAGCTGTTATGAAATGGTAATTTGTTAGCACATTTTGGTGTAATGATGAAGGATTTTTTCACAGCGTGATAAAGCATTCAGCATGGCCGCCCATGACATATATTTACAGAAGAATCTGGCAGCATTATACTGTATTTGTCTGTGAGGAGGTCAGAAGTGTGGTGCTGTTGTGTGGGAGGAGTTTGTATTTTTGTTTTTAAACTACAACTTGCATGACAAACCAAAGCCGTGCATTAGTGCAACATCATTTCATTTGCAGCTCGTAATAACAAGTCAGTCGGTGAAAACCGTGAGCGCATGATGCATCAAAGCTTCTATGTTCTGCTCTTTGTTTCAACGCTTCGTAACATACAGCACCCGATACAGCAGTTGTTACATGAAGTAAAGTACCGAACGTGTCCGGGGGGTTTTTTTGGACTCCTCTAAGGTTTTGCAAAAATATAACAAACATTACGCCATATTTCATTTATACAACTGTGCACAGTTTATTTGTTAAGCAATAAATGCTGTCAACGGTGGAATATGGGGTCGTAATTCATTTTTGATTAACTGAAAGAGAATGCACAGTCACCAAAGTTTTCATTCCAGGAAGTTAATGAAATTATCTCACATATTTCTGGATCATAACAGCAGACTCCATGGCAGGCATTCAGATTCAACCTTTGGAGAAACTAGCACTGTTGAGCTGTGTTTATAGCCACGAGTCAGCTCTACTGACTGGGGTAATAATTGCATCATATCTCTATCTCAAAAGATCTGATATGATATTCCTCACTCTGCATTTTCCACATTAGGTGGCTGGTTATTGCTGCTGCATGTCTGATGGCCTACGTCAGCATAAATCTATCTGGCAATAACGGTGACAAGTATTCTTATTTAAAGTCTAAAATGCTGGTGTCTTCTAAGCGAGCATAACTAATAAAACAAAGCCTGACTTTAAAGCAGTACCTATTGTGCTTTTCCTATTATTTATATGTATTCAACGGTGGGGACGCTGAAGCCTGAGGGTGATAGGTGGAACAAAAGGGCTAACACAGAGTGACTGACAGTCATTCATGATCACAATCACACCTATGCTCAATTTAGAATCACCAATCAATCTAACATACTGTGGGAGGAAGCTGAAGTACTCAGCGAGAGTGCATGAAAGCTCCACACAGGAAGCTCCTGGCTGACCAGTGGATTCCTGATCCCAGTCACTCTACACATGTGAGGCAACAGTCCTAACCACTGTCTCAGTCATCCAGGTTATTGCAGTCTAAGAAGCTTGGAAGGAAAAGCGTCTGGACTTCTTGAGGTTTTTAAAGACGTTTCACCTCTCATCTGAGAAGCTTCTTCAGGTCTAAGAGCAACTGGTGGAGAGTCCCGGATTTTAAACCCTATGGGAGTGGGTGTAGATCACAATCAGCCAAGGTTTCAGGCAAGTCCATTGGTGAAACCTAGCCCCACCCTATCATGTGATTTACTGAGATCAAATGACCCAGGATGTGAGTGGGCGTTAAGGCGTCTGGGAAGGGATCTTCTTCAGTTGCTCTTAGAACTGAAGGAGCTTCTCGGATGAGAGGTGAAACGTTTCCAAGGAAACTTAAAGAAGTCCAGATGGTTTTCTTTCTAACTCCATAGGTCCTAACCACTCAACCACCGTCCAAAGCTCTAAAACTGTGCCCAGTGTACTCAGTGTGCAGGTGATCCTTGATAGCCAAAAGCTCAGACGTGACAATGCTCTAAACATTTTATTTCGGACAGTTTTTTGCACTCTGTATGATGTCGGGTAACATGGATCTTCATGAGCTCAAAAGCGACAACCCACCTTCTGTTTGCAGTGAATGAAAAGAAAACTGTCCTAAAAGAGTTAAAAGGACACATTTCAGACAGAGGATGAACTGAGTCTCTGTGTGAGGTCAATAAGTCTGTTGAAAGATAATATTACTGTACCTAACTGTACTGCTTTCAGCCTCAAATAATATTTGCATTTCAATTTCTGTCCTTCTAGTCAAATACATTGAGTAGTCATGACTGGTGGACAGTTCATAACTTACTGCAACCCTGTAAACTTTGAAATTGGAGTTTTTCTGTTGATGGGGTATCTGTTGCTCTTACTACTGTACATGATCTGAATATTGGTGTTATCGCCACCTCAGGTAAATAGCAGCTTAGTGGGTTTTTTTTAGCTGTAATGTAGCAAGAAGTCATTACTGGAGTTACATAACTTGTATCATTATTAGCACAGGAGAATAGCAGCAGTGATTAATGGTTGCAGCTCGGTGGCAGCAGGCACAGTGGTGTTTCTGTGTTTTCCAGAGGCCCGGTGGTGACACATACAAGTCAATCAGAGAGGGCCATTCTACCACAGAACAGGCCTTTTGGCTTAATTAAAGTGATGTTTCAAGCTGCCACCTGGCCATACCCTCACGCACACACACACTACAGCCACCCATACAGCCCATTACGCACACACAGACTGTATGCAGCTACGTAGACTATCAAGAGCCTTTTGCACATTGCAAACTCTAAAACGCACGGGTCATATGGCACGATTTACACAAACACGCAACACCTCGGATGCACACGCACCACTACACATTTGCACATAAGTATACTCGCGCACTAGCACACACGGGCGTAGAGTGACTGGGAGCAGCTGCTAGTGTAATTGCTTGGGGTTGGATGAGGTTATAAATGGTTTCTAGTGGCCGAGAGAGAGGGAGAGCTAGAAAGAGGGCAGCTGATTAGTTTTGGACTGCAAGTTGAACGTGTGTGTGTGTGTGTGTGTGTGTGTGTGGATATCAGCCTCCATAAGGCTGTAAAGGAAGTGTCTATCAGCATAGTCATATCATAGAAGGATAGCATGGTTTTTTTTTTTGGGTTTTTTTTGTTCACACACACAAATCATACCAACACACACACTTCCTCTCTTTCCCCCTGTCACTGGCTTTCTCTATGACACACATACACACTCCACACACCTGCCTTCCTCTCCTCCTCCGTGCTGTGCCTGCCTCGGGTGCGTCGATCACACAGGTATTTGATATTCATGGTTTATCAGCATGGAGCTACAGCGAGACACATCAGAAAGAGTGGGAGAAGGTGAGGGGGAGGGGGGACAAGTAGGAGTCATGAATAGAGGGGAGAAAAGGGGGAAGCAGGAAAGGAGGGTGCGAGAAAAGGGGAGGAGAGTGGAAAGACGAGGACGAGGGAAGAGGCTACGAACATTTATTTTTTCTTCACTGGAAAAAAGGATCATAGCAGAAACGACCAAAGTCAGGCACTTTTTGGGTATAGTGTGGATTGTAAAGGGTGAGATGGAGTGATGCTGATGAAGATACAGGAACATAGAGCGAGGATGGCAGTGCATAAAGCAGCAAAAGAAAGCCAGGAATATGAAAAGATTTGGAGTATGAATAAGCAGAGATGGACTGTGCTACAGTAGGCAGCCAACAATGCTCTCCACGCCCGACTTCTCTCGACCAATTACACCCTCCACTGCCCCCTTTTTACTTCTCTCTCTCTTTTCAATCATCACCTCCAGCCCTCATTTCTTCCCCCCCCCTTAAAATTCCCCTCAACTGACTTTTCCAGATGCCATCAAATCGACAGGTTTGCATAGCCAAAGTCAAGCTAATCATTCCAGGCCCCGCAGCGGAGAAGGAAAAAGCAGGAAAAGAGTCTGATTCCCCGTAATGCTCAAGTTTTAGTTACTGCACACATACAAAGAAGAGCAGAGGCTTTGAAGGTGTGAGACTTGCATTAGATGTGCTGCACTGGAGAGGTTTGGGGAGGATGGATGGGAATGAGTGAAAATGAGAATGCGAGAGGGACAGAAGGCTTCAGAAAGCTAGTGTGTGTGAGAGGGCTTAAATAGGAGAATTTAATGCGTCATCTTTTCCTTCTTTTAAGTGTCAAGTTTTATGTTACAGCCAAAATTTGGTCAGCAGTTAACAAAAAACAAAAGTTATTGCTCCGAGTTAAAGCCTGTTAATCCTCAAAGCCCCGTCCAACTCACTGTCATCACCTGTGCTGACTTGAAACACTCCAGTCCCATCAATCTGTGGTTGTTCTTATGTAGAAGTTCTTCCATTTCTTAAGTCGGATAACTGAGAAAGAAGGAGCTGCTTACTTTATGGATGCCACCTGTGAACTAGACAAAAAGCATTTTTCCTGTGATTTCAGAGTTTTCAGACTTAAGCGGTGTTTATCTGAACAGAGTTCAAATTTGAGGCTCACGTTTTCAAGTGCATCTTTCTGCACAGTACTTTGAGAAAAGCTAGTTTTCCGTGTGGCACAATCACTACTTTAGCGTCAAGGATAAAAGCAAAAACGATGGCTCTTCAAATTTAGATGTTTTAATGTTGGGTGTGCTCGTAGGAATAAATGATAAGAGGGGGAAACGAGGAGCTGAAGAGATGGGCGACGGAAGAACAAGTACGTGGGAGCTGGGGAAGGGAGGTGGCGCAAAACAGGGAGGAGATGAGGAGATGGAGATTTAAAAAATAAATAAATGTGAAAGAGCAGTATAAAAATACGAAAAGCGGAGAGAGTGAGAGATACAGGCGCACAGTGAGAGAGGTGGCAGTGTCTCTCCTTTTGTGTTCCACGTGGATTCATCCCTTTCTGTCGGCCTTTCATTCACACTCCCTCGCTCGCTCACTCTGTCATTGTCATGCTCGCACTCTCTCATTCTTCTCACCCTTTTCTTTTCGGCTCCTCGCCTTTCCACCCTCTCCATTTCCCCCCCATCCCTCCTCAAGCCCATCGCTACTTTCCTTTCCATCACCTTCATTCAGCTCCTCTCACTTTGAACCTTCTTTGCCTCCTGTGCCTGTGTGGGGGTTTTTTCTTCTGATTTTCTTGTTGGTGTATTTTCTCTGTCTGGTCTTAATAACAATAATAATCAGTTAGATAATTCAGGATCTCAGAAAAACAACAATTAAGCTTTATTTAAAAGTTGGTACACTGCGTCCAATTTAAGATAAATATTTTGGATCATGACTAAAATTTAGATTATAGGTTATCAGGTTGTAACTTTGTTATACATAGTAATAAAATGTTACTTATAATTTTGCTTACACACTGTAAACAGGGATGTAGTAGGAGTAGAGCACATTTGATGCACACAGTTGGCCTTAGTGGTAAAATCATGTACTTCAGAACTTTTCCCAGGCTGACCCACAGCTCCTTTCCAAAAAAAAAGAAGGAAAAAGTAGCCTCTCTGGCGGTTTATGCTAATCTTAGCTCCACAGACTTCTCTCCACAGATGGTACCATACCTGATCTGTGGCAGGCCCACTCGCTGCCTGTTAAAGTGCTGTCACGCAGGATGCCTCGTGAGTGGCACGCTCTGAAACCCATTATTTACACTGCTTCGCTCAAGCTGTGACTGCTGCCCTCGCAGCCAATGGAAAGACGGCATCCACGCAGCAGTGTGCAGGGATCGAGGGAAAATTGATATTATAGGTGTAAAGTAACTGAATTATATCATTGAGCTTCGAGATTGTAGTAAGATCATCAGAGAAAATCTTTTGATTTGTTCCTCTCAGTAATGAAGAAAAGAGGTGCAGGACACAGACTGAAACACTGCTGGAAGTCTTTAACTGTTTTGCTCTGACCTTGGTGACTGCCTCAAACAGCACATTGAACCCTGTGGTGTGGAGTGCACATATTGCATGCTGAATGAGAGTCTCATCAATCAGAAAGAAGAGCAATGAAGTTAAATAGCAAAAATAAAATTTTGACATCGTCTTCAAAATAAAGAAGCCCAAGGTTTTGTTTTTGCAAAGATAATATTCATTATATTTCCACACTAAACCATAATTGTGTTGGTTGCTAGTGCGCATTTAATGTGTAAAATCAACATTGCAAATGCTGTAAACGAGCCTGCGGTGGTTTAACGACTGTTAATACCTACAAAAAGACACAATACTAAGCCCCCTCCCTAAAATGTTATTAGAAGCATCTGTAGCTTCAATGACAGCACGCATTTGCTGTGACATGATCTTGCTAATCATATGCAATATCACAACATTGATTTCCATCCAGAGTAGCACTGATTTTGACAAGTTCTCGTATTAATGTTGGTCGGGATTTTGGACTCTGTGGAGGCCGATGCATGTAAGAAAATGTCTCGTGCTCTCAGAAGTGATCCTGATGAATCCTGGCGGGAGCATGCCCGTGCCATTAGCGAAGAAAAAGTACAATTAATTGAAGCAACCTCCACCCTCTTTTATCAAAAACTGGTGGAACCAGCTGATGAGCAAGCACATTTTAGCTAACAGAGACCAGCATTAGCTAGAAATGCAGTAAGTTATAGCATTTAAAATAACAGGCTTAACTGATTAGTTAATTAATTGATTTTTACCTGAGTTTGCCATCTGTGGATACAGTATCAGTCTTAACTATGTCTACCAGACTAACTGCTAACTGCCGTTGCTGGAAGGCTCTCCAGTCTCTTTTGTGTTTTGGAAAGGCGAAAAGACTTTGGAGCATCTCCGACGTTACCATTTATTTTGCTCTCAGGGTTACCAGATATACTTTCCAGTCCAATTATCTTGTAAGTTTTGCATAACGCTGTGTGAAATATGGCAGTTAAATTCAATCAAACTATTAGATTTAAATCTAAAAGGGAACAGGAGGCTATTTTCAGCCCTGAAATAAAACCTCATTTACAGATCAGTTCTATTGTGACTTCACTTTTCTTCTTATTCACTTACTCACAGCTCAGGAGTCACTTTTTAATTAGCCTTAAATTTATTCCAGCAGAATGAATTGCACCAAAATAATTAAATTCCTGTTGTCTTTATTATTCTGCAGCACTCGTATCAAATCGACTCGTGCTCTGTTTTTAATTTTCTCACAACTTTATTCCAGGTAGCATTCTTTTGTCTTTCTGAAACACGCAGACACCCTGACGGTGCTCTTCGTGCTTCCTTGTCCTTTATCTTCCTCCTCCTTCCTTCCTCCCCTTCCCTCCCCGTCCTTTTTACTCCATCCTCACTTTGCCCTCCTCCTCCGCCACTTTGCCTCTCCCTCCATCCCTCTTTCTCCCTCCTCGGTTGCACCCAGAGTAATTCCATCTCTCTCCCAGCAAACAAAGGGAGCTAATGACATGCTGACACCGAGCCCGATGATTGAATTCATTAGGCGTGCACAATAATTGCCAGGCGCTAGCGTGCACGCACCCATCTATTCAGAGGACAGCTGTCAAATAACAAGCAAGAGAGAATAGCTTTTTATTGTTGGAGCTGGAAGAGAGAGGGAGAATGAATTTAGAGAAAGAGTGAGAGAAGCACCTGTTGTGGAGGGGAAGAGACAGAGAGAGCACTCAGCATGTCAATTAGGCTGCTGTGTTCATGCGGGGTTACTGGGAAGTTTACTGCCTGTTTGACGCACTTGGCATCATGATTCAGGTGCGAGGTTTGTGCTTTTTTTTTCTATAGGAACACTTTTAGTCAGACGTTTTTAGTGGAGACATTCAGCTGTGACTTAATATCTAAGCCACAACTCTTAGTTCTGAGGTGAGGCCCTAGTCCTGAGTATACAGGGATGTTTAAGAAGAGTACGTCTTGACATTTGTTGGCCATATTTGGAGTCTCCGTGTCCTTCAAACACTAAATGTAGTTGTGGCGTTGATCTGGAGTGCATTTGTGCTGTAATGATTTGAAATTAACAGGAGATAATCATATTGGACTGAGCTTGAACACCTCATAAGGCTGACATTAATCACAATATAGATGCAGTATATACTCTGTAATCTAATCAGAAACACGCACTGGCAAATTTGCAGTTATTGAACACTTCTTAGTTGTGTACCTGCAGATGCTTCACAGTAAATGCTCTCCAATTGCATTTGCTTTGATTCACGCTGCGCTTTCAAGTACATGACAGAAGTGTTCAGTTAGCCAAGATATTGGCTGTTGTGGAGCTTCATATAACTGTGCAGTGTTTGTTGTTGGTGGATGGGAAGCAGGTTAGTGTTATGTCATTTCTCATTTGTCGGAGCGGGCTACAATCCTTCTCCAAAATTCTTCCACTGTAGGAGACGGCACTGCAGAACTTACTCGGACTTGCAGCTTATTCACTGGCACCAAAGATCAAAGCTAACACATCACATCCCAACTATTATAAGATGCCATTTTGATGTCAGAATGGATATTTCCTTAATTTATCTGGTTCAGCGTTGAGTAATGAGAGCCGTGTGCCTTAATTATACAACAGAAGTCTCTGCCTGCATATACTAAGCACCTGATTTAACACTTAAGACTGGTAGTCTAACACTAATAAATCTGTTGTAGATAATGAGCTTGCACTCTGATTTACCTCCCTGCTAACTGCCCTGCTGCAAATTATATGCAGGTTCTTTTCATTAACCTCAAGTAGCCAAATGAATGTCCTTTTAACTTTTGTACTTTTGCTAACCCCAAGAAGACGGAGAAAGTGTGGCAAGGCTGAAGGGGTGTTTGCTTTACTGCTTAGGCTAAATGCATGAATGTTTTTGGTTTGGATGATTAAATATTTATTACGGTGTACGAGCATTTAGATGTATTTAAATGTGATTCTGTCTCGGCGGATTCTCAAAAGTTCTTTCGCTCTGTAAATTGGGCTCCATATCTCAATCTTTGCTCCGCCTCTTACAGAAGACAGAGGAGGACGAGTTGGTCCTGACCCCTGATGGGACCAGAGAGTTCCTGACCTTTGAGATCCCCCTCAGTGACTCGGGTTCTGCAGGTTTGGGTGTGAGCGTTAAAGGCAACCGCTCCAAGGAAAACCATGCAGATCTGGGCATCTTTGTCAAATCCATCATAAATGGAGGTGCAGCCTGCAAGGTACAGTAGCCTCTCTCATGAATAATAAAGCGTCTGAATGGAAACAAAGAAGAAAGATTAAAAATGTGTTCATTCATGGAGGCAAGTTTTTTTTTTGTTTTTTTTTTAATGAAATTGAAATATAAAGATGCTGATTCAGTTAAATCTGACTCTAAATGTTATGTACACCAGCAAGTCCTAACTGACACCTGGCCGGCGGCAGAATCATTAAGTTTAGAATTAAATCTGTGTGTCTTTACATTACATTAGAATGTCTTTGTCTTAAAGCTTTTTATATTTTAGGTGTGATTTTTCGATATGCCAAACTTTAAAAAGTAACGTTAACCTTCTAACAGGGAACATGAGGTAAACGACTTTCCTGGTTCTAAGAAACACTTAAGCTGTGATGAGCTCTATGAGCACAAAGCAGCCTTTCTTCCATGGCTGTCTGTAGTGCTGCAGTCAGTTTCAATAGTCCTTCAACTTGATTGTTTTTCATACAAACAAGCTTGTGTTGACAGCTCATGATAATGGCCTTGAAAGCACTGTTTTCTCCAAGACATTAGATCATGACTAGAAACAGGATCCTCTTAGTGAGTGAGGTCGTTTGTCTGATTAGATCAAGGTTATTGTTAAACCGGAGGTGTAAGTGCTTTTAGGTCTATTTGCAGCGTTTATTGTTCAGTCAGTAAAAATACACAATGCACTTTTTCCCATAGTGTTCAAAGTTTAAACAGCATATGTAATTGGTTGTTTATTAAAAGGACGGGCGACTGCGAGTAAATGACCAGTTGATTGCTGTCAACGGCGAGTCGCTATTGGGCAAAACCAACCAAGACGCTATGGAGACGCTACGCAAGTCCATGTCAACTGAAGGCAACAAGCGTGGTATGATCCAGCTCATTGTGGCCAGGCGAGTTGCCAAAAGAAATGAGGTAGGAACCAAGGTGAAGGATGGATTTGAATGTCTGGTTCTCGGCTGTGTGAATTTATATAGACCAGTACAATCATTACTTTTTAATTAGAACCGCTGCTTTGCCGATTTTGCTAATGTGTCTTACTGATGATTAAATGGGAGTCTGAGAGGGCTTAAAGCCTCAGTTTTAGAACTTATCCAGCATATTGGCCGTTATATTGCCTGATGTTGGCTGTTTGGAGATAAATCAGTGTCAGAATTTCCAACGTTGAAAAATTAAAAGTGGAGATGGAAGAAACACCCTTCAACCATTGACATTGCTTAATCTGTCCACCAGGGGGCAGAGCGTAAACGACTGATCCATGACTTGTAAAACAGTTATTAACTTATTTTAAAACAGCATTCACATATCACCTTAGTAAATGGGCTGATTCTTATATAGCGCTTTTCTACTCTCCCGGAGTACTCAAAGCCCTCACCTTAGTAAGGACTCATAAATAACTAAACTAGTGCTGTCAGCGCTAATGCGTTAACACAAACTGACTCGCGTTAACACAAACTGACTCGCGTTAACACAAACTGACTCGCGTTAACGCGTCAAAATTGGCAAATCCCCGTTAACGCAGATTAGTCCGTGTGAGGGGTTCCTCGGCGTTAACGACTAACGCGATTAACAATTAACTCATCTGGAGCATTTTGGGCAGCTTGTCCGATTTGTCCATTCTGCACTCCAGATGGGTTGAGTGCGCTAAAACCTCATTTAATTGCGTTAATCGCGATGACAGCATTAACGCATTTACCCACGTTAACGCCGTATTAACATGTTAAAGCTGACAGCACTAAACTAAACATAACAAATGTTCAGGAAATCCACACATGTGGCTGTTATTTTGGATTTTAAAGTGACTAAATTTCATATTGGTCTAAAGAATGCCGTATTAGTCGGGATCTACTCAAGTTCAGCATCATAGCTGTGACCAGCACGCTTTTGTGTAAACCATGCAATTAGAAGATTTTACAACTAGTACAGCAACTATAATAATTTACTGTTTTTTCTCACTCTGAGCATATATGACCTTTTGCAGCAGCCGACTTGGCTTTCACAAATTCAAACCTCAGAGTTGTGCAGAGTTGAGCCGTTTCATTGGGAAAACTGTGGGGAAACATCGTGCCCAAGGCCGTGTCAACATTAGTTTTTGAGCAAAAGAAGGTGGCGTTCATTCAGTATTAATGCTCGGGCTTTTTTGTTACCAGCTGTTCTGTGATTTGAAGCAGTGTAGTGAGTTCTTCGACTGCTGCTGCTGATTCACAAAACATCCAGATTTAGACGCAGACTGCAGTTTGGTAAAGAACTGCTATTTCAGTCTGCTAGAGTCCAACCTTACTTCTAGTATTTTCAACTCTAATGGGGCAAATTTCACTTTCCAATCTGTTAGTATTCAGATCAGAATATCTATAGTTGCAGTTTCCATGTTGTTGGTTTTTTTTTTTTTGTTTTTGTTTCTCTAAAATTTGGCATTGCTGTTCCTGAATATAGCCACTTAAGTCATTAGGCCTGATTTCTGTGAGTTCCTTACTGTGATAAATATATAACAACCCAAAGCCAAACCACTGGGAAATACCCTTATAAGCATCAATTAATTATTTCATAAAATAAAAGGAAGCAGTCAGGTCATAGCATTTCACCAACCCCTTACATTCACTCCTGCCTCCCTTGAGGCAGGTGGAGGAAAAATACACGGCTGCGAACTGAGCTGCGCAACTTTTCTCCTCCCCTCAATGTCATGTTTTTACATTCTCCGTACACCTTGGCCTGTCGCCTGCTTGAAAGCTGAGGCTGAATCTGTGTGCACCGCTGCTGCGTGTCTGCAAATGGATGCGCACGTCCGTGTGCACGTGTACGCCTCTGGCAGTGCCTGGCTTCTCTGCTCTCCTTTTCCAACCTGGTGTGTCAAAGTTTTGATTTCCCCTCGGTCCGCCTCGTAATTGAAAGCAGAGGCTAAGCCTGGAGGTGTGTCTTGTGTGTGTGTGTGTGTGTGCGTGCGTGTTTTATCAGCCTGTGTGCGTGTATATATGTGTAGTGAAGCGTGCAGTTTGTGCTTTTGTACATCCAGCTTATGCACATATGCGTTTATTTACCAGGATATTTCTGCGTGTCCGTTTGCCAACACGTCCTATGTATATGCACACGCGTGTGTGTTGCCGACATGTCGAAGCAGTGAGACTTCACAGAGAGCCTGGTGGATGAATAAAATTCGAGCGCTGGGAGTCTCGTCAATCTTTGCTTCACATGCAGAGCTGGAGGCATGGCCTGAGGCTGTCCAAGTGTCTGGCTATTTATAAAAATAGAGTCCGTGACACTGAGAAAACAAGAGGAGGAAAACAACAATTTAATACACTTGTTCTCAAAGAGACTGGTCTGAGCTCGAAGCCCCATAGGCTCAGTATAGATTAACGCATCATAACCAGCCGTCAATCAAATATTACTTAAAATCTAATAACACCTAATTACTATAGGATAAGACCTATAGCTCATTTGACATTTAGCGACATATGTGATCAGATAAATCTTTATTTACTCTCCCTCCCGTGTCCCCGTCAATCCGATATCAATCTCAAATGTTTGCTTTTGCATAAATCACAGGCTCCACCACTTCCGATCTTTCCTCCATCCCCATAGAAACGCAGTGAACTCCAACCAGCCAACTTCCACATCACCGCTGGCACCCGAAGGGATCGAGACCTTCCAGGAGTTCAATTATCAGCCTGAATATGCAATGAGCTGCGGTGTGATTTGTCCACGTGCCCTCAGTACGGCGAATCCCATCGGCTATTACCGAGGCATTTCACCCCGGCCCCTCAGTCACCCGATTCATTAACTACCTCATTTAAAGTCAAGAGCAGCTGCATGCCGGCAGTCACAGCACCATATGGCGACCTTCGAAATGAGTCGGTCTCCGTAGTTGATTTGTTTTATCCATGTGACGTTTTCATTAGTTATGTTTGCCATCGTTCAAACGGTTTAATCTGTTCAGCAAATGACTTTCTTCATTTGTAGTGCAAGAAAGGCGTCCAGAAAAATTAAGACGTGTTAGCAGTAAAACTGGTAGAAACTTTTATTGGCATACTAACATTTTTTTCTACAGGAGGAGTTATTTAAAAAGGAAATGTCTATGATTTTCTTACCTTTCTACAAGAGCTATTATGGTGTCTTGCTTAAGGGTTTTGAATTTTGCCTTATTTCCAGTGTGAACTTATTGTATTACTCTACACTTCGCAGGCCTGTGCTGTATTTTTACTTGCGTGCATTTATTGGAAAGTTATAGGTTTCTGTGCTAAATGACGTTTTGCATTCACAACACAAGATCGAGTTCAGGGCTGCTGCAAGGGTTTATTTATTTATTCCTTTTTCATAAACAGACTTGTCTTGTCTAAACGACCCCGGTGAATCCCTAACAAGAAAGAAAAAGCAGTTTGATCGATGAGCTAAAGGTGATTCAGGATGTGAACATGTTTCTAGTCTTGCACAAAGAGCCTTCTTTTCTGTAATCTGCCTCATGACACTTTTGCCAGCATCCTAATATTACCACCATATGTATGCTCTCATAAACTGAAGTTTTCTGTTACATCCCTATCTATTCGACAGTGTTTATAGCAGCACAACCATTCACTGAAGTGAAAGGGATCATTGGGCAAAGACCTTCTGCCAAACTCAAATTCCAGCCAAGCTAGTCATAGTCATTGATTGGAGTCATTTGGTCCCAGTATTGAGTCAAGTTTGATAGTGTCATTTCCTGATATGTGTTAACATTTATGACTGTTATCATTAGAGCTGTCATCACCTTCAGAAAGAAATGCAAAAACCATACAGAAAACATCAATACATCAGTACATCCAGTGATCCAACGGACAAAAGACACACGTGCACACACCTTCTCAGGCAGTAGATGTGTGCAAAAGGGTAACGGGGCATGCAAATGGTCTATTTGTCCAGCAAGAAAGACTGTCATCATGGGTCTTAAGGGAAATGTCAAGATGCTAGGAAGCTAATCTTCCCCAGCGGGGGATCGCCAGCTCGGTAACAGCCTGTGGCTCAACAGCCGAATGGAAATCCATCCTCATTTATCCTTGTTACCACATTGGTAGCATTAGCATGGATCGCCACCCCTGTGTCCAGCCATTACTATTGAACAAATGTTAGCGATGCTAGGTCCCTTCAGAATCATTGTCTCACTTTTGAGTAAGACTTAACTTCTAGCACTTCACTCTGTCCGCGTTAAAAAGGATTATTTGTTCTTTGTTAACCTTTATAAAAACACTTCACAGGTGATTCAAACAAAGGAAGGAGTTAGTCTTTGATGTAACATCAGCTTCCTCTTCATTCAGGAGACACCAGGGAGCCCACTGGGACCCCAGCAGATTTTAAACACCTCCCTAGATGACCACGAGCGCCGAATCTCCCACTCGCTGTATGGTGGCCTGGAGGGCCTCGATGACAACTTGATGCCCCGGCAAGGCATGCTGCCACGCACGATAGGTGAGTTCCAGCATAACGAATTAATTTTGACCTTTTTTTTGTACTCATTCATTGGCAACTGGTTCTAACATTTCCTGCCTTGTTGTAGTTTATGGCCATTTGCAGGTGCAATGTGATTCCCTGTTTCTTCTGCTTAAGGATGTTTATAGGGTCACAACTGCAGCATTTTACAGCAATTACAGCATTTTGTTTTGTGTGTTCTCTAAGCTAGCCTGCCAGGTTTTGTCAGCATGAGCCAGCAGTATCATCTGGAACCAGTGGTTTTTAATGTGTCTGTCAGGCCGCAGGAGGCAGAGATGGACAAATGCCCCCTCGACAGTTTGTTGCTTGTATGTTTTCTGAAAGTGTCACGCGTGCATTGGTTCTCAAACCTGCAACTCTCCCTGTTTCTAAATAACCCTTTGCTCAAACATGCTCTGAGCTGGTTTGAAAGTGACTGCGTGTGCGTGTGTGTGCGTGCGTGCGTGTGTGTGATTAGCAAGCATATTTGTATCTGTGTGTAAGAGCTTTGTGCGCATCTGTGCAGGATTGCATTTGTGTAGCACTTGAGTGATTGATGGATGGGTGGTTATGTTCGTTAATGTCAAAGAAAGGATTCTGTGCACCAGATGGTGAAATCGCAAAGCTCGCCTGTTTTAATTTCAAGAAAGAACATAATGACCCAACCATCTTCCTACATCTTGTCCTTTGCAGTTGTTTATTTGCTTTGAATTCTTCAATTTCTCTTCTGCTGATTCATTGCAAATGAGCCCAAAGGGAAAAGAAAGACACAGAAAATACTTTTAATGTAAATGAATTAAGTAGAAAAACAGTAAGAAGAGTTGAAGTAACTCTTATCTTGTATTTTAAAAAAGTAGCTCTAGGCAAATCTGTCTCATTAATCAATGCAACTTAATCTGAAAGTGTTTTCCATTTATGCAAATCGGTTGACTCTGACAATGTCAGTATATATAAAAGTGTAAGCTATGAGTGACAGAGAAAGCGTTAATAGGTGAAGCTCATCCATGCTTAACAAACAGCAAGCACATAATGAGCGTACAGGGTTGGGAGTGAAAGCACGAGGCAGATTTACAGCAGTTGTCTGCTTAGCAGTGGCAAATGAGATCGCTGTCACTTTGCCGACCAGACAAACTGATGTCTGAATCTTTTGTGAAGCTCGAGTTTATCCTAATGCTTCATGAAGTTAATACATCACTTTGTGTATACAGTTCAAAATCAGCATAATCTGCAGGGGCCTCCAGAATGTACTGACCAGACGTGTTTCAACAGTTGCTGATCTTTAGTTTTGTTGGACGGGAGAAGGCTTTCTAAAGATTGCAAAGAGTCTTTTTCTTTGCCTGAAACGAAAAACAAAAAGCAGTAAAGCTGTCAAGGTTGAACTGGAGCATAGAAGAGCTTTCTGCAAACAGTGGGTGGTTAATATGGGACTTTGTTAAACTTTAAAATCGAACCTGGCAGAGGGTCTTTTACAGAAAAAAGAAAATAATACGAATAAACAGTTTTGATTTTTCGGGGGTAGCTATTAGATAGTTACAGAAGTTTCCTGCGTCTTGTTAACTAAGCAAATAGTTGAGCATGCTTTGGTTGCAGGTCAGTCTATCTATGTCGAGAGCAAAAACAAAAGAGGGGGGTTTTGAACAGATATTTGTTATCTGCAGTTTGGGTATGCTGAAGCCCTGAAAAACTAGCCGTTGCACTTGGACGCCAAGTCAGTGTACGAGCTGATGGTTGGTACCAGGTTGTTACCAGAGTGGCACAGTCGTTGCAGTAATACTTTACGTGTTTTTTTTCCTCTTTCTTTAAGCAAGAGATTCGATCCAAACAAATGGAAACTAAGCAAACAAAATTATCTTCCAGAATAAAAATCAAAGTGAAGTTTGGCCTGTTGGTGAGGATGAGATTGTTTGTTAGGTGAAATTAAAGGAAGGCTGTACTAAGAAAAAAATATAGAAATTGTTATTAATATCTGCTTTTCTACCGTCAGTCTCCCTTAAATATGATTAAATATTGTCCAAAATGTGGAGCTGCATCCAGTCACAACCTTTACAAGCGAGAGATGGATTTTGTGAAACATGATGAGGCTCAACTTAAATTGAATAATGTCACCGCAGTGCTGCTGTAGTGTTGCAGCTCATGCCCCATCAGTATTTGTGTCTCCCAACACACATGCCACGTGCTTTTTTGATCCTCTGTCACGTGTCTTGTTTTTGTGATTTCACTGTGAACTGACTGGGCTAAGCAGGAATATCTGATGTCAAAGCACCAAGAGTGGTCCGTTTGTCCACCAGGATCAGGCACCGCATGCTTGAAACCTCCAAGGCTGGCCTATGAGGGCTGCACACTCTATAATTGCTATGTGTCACAGACACGTGACTCTTTTCTCTGCTTATTAAACACTTAATCAGCCCAGTGGATTTTTTCCCTTGACTGTTTAAGGAGGCATTTCAGCCTCAATATATCATGTAACGTATTCTGAGTCTTCTTTTTGACACGTGGTTTTAAAATCAAGTGGGTTATAAAATTATTTTTTTCATGTACTTGAATCGCTACAGATAAGCAGTTCGGGCTTTTTAGAACATTGCTCTGTGGTTTTGTGAAGATTGGGAGAGGTAGGGAAAGGATTAAATCCTTATATGAACTCTTGTTTAATTTGCCACTGTGGACTCGGCAAAGAGGATAAAGGTCAGCAATCTCAAACTTTAAGCTGGTAGACTCTGCTTTTCTTAGTATTTCCCTCATAAATTAACATTTTAAAGGTTTTTTTTTTTTAAGGGAAATGTGATAAATAAATGTCTTTTGTGTTGTCTATAACTACATTTTTATAGCTCAAGTGTCTAATCTAGGGCTATCTTAAAAATAAGATTTGATGGGGACCATACCTGATACCTGGATTAATTCAATTCCGTTTTATTTATACAGCACCAAATAACAACAGCAGTCACTTTAAGGCGCTTTATATGGTAAGGTAGACCCTACAATAATACATACAGAGAAAGACCCAACAATCATATGACCCCCTATGAGCAAGCGATAGTGGGAAGGAAAAACTCCCACACACTCCCACAGCCTCACAGGATGTAACAAACAGGAAGAAACCTCCAGCAGAATCAGTTACATTGATAGGACTCAGTTTGAACTTTATTCCTCTTCACATGAGGTTAGTATGTATATACATCTAATAAACTGTAATAATTATGATTGTTGATCTCAATCCTGTGAAAATCACCCGACAGTAATCTGTAAAGTAAAAACTGCAGTGCAAATTACCCACCTGCTTAAAGTGAGTTTTGCAAAAATCATTAGCTGAACATTTTTTGTGTCATCTGCATCTTTCTTCTCCTTCTTTCTAGGGTGAGAATTATAGAGGCTGTGCTGGCAATTATAAATAAACATTGGATGGAGGGCCGATAGTCCGGCCAAACCCATCATAAACATCAGAACTTTTCTCCCAAACAATTGATCTTTCATCCCCGTTCTTAAAGCTATTAAAACTTTTTCTAACATTCATTCCACATCGAATTCTTCCCTTTATTTATGTCTACCTATAAAATGACTGTTTTGGCCCTCAGACCAGGTTTGCTGCAGTAAATGTCAAGTTTTTGATCATGACTTGACTTTAGAAGGTTGGTTCTATAGAACCCTTCTTGTTTGGATTGGAACGGTTTCTTTAATGAAATTGTGGAATCTAATGTTTGTCTTATAGAAAGATATTTTAGAGCTTTTTGACACCGTATTTGAGTGAAAGAAGACACCTCCAAGAATATGTCCAAACATGGGCGGAAAAACCCAAACTTTGGACATGGTTTCACACCACTACAGCATAGGGTAACAATCGTGGCGTCTTTCTGTGTAATTTGGGTCAACCACCACTTTTAAAGTGCATGTCTGGGAGTTGGACGAGTGCTCTGGCCCGTGCTTACGTTTGTACTGATGGACCAGCTGCAGGATTTGCAACTTTAAGTTGTAGTAACTCCTGATGATTGCACGAGCTAACTTGTCACCCTTTGTACTTGAGTCAATTCCCTGTGAATTAACATAAATGTGGTGATTCGCCAACATAGGCAGCTGTGTTATGACTGATGTGAATACAGTGGAAGGGTCTGGAAAAACAGATGCACGGCTATGAGCTGCTCCATTGCTGCTAGTCAGGAGCTGTCAGGAAGAGACTAGAAGCAGGTCCCAGATGGGAACACATGTGAACACAAAGTAGAGCTTTGCATGCTCAGCAAACCTTCTTAAGATAAATACAATTGTGTGTGTGTTTGAGTGCTGGAGGGGTCTTTCACAGTTCCTTGGAATAAGCCTGTTCTTGCGTTGTGAGGGTGCAGCTAAACATAAATCATGCATTAAGCTTTCTTAGAGGAGAACTTGGTTTCGAACATATCAGCTTGAATTTCGGACCGCGTGCACTCTGAGATCGCTTGCTGAAGATGCCAGGGATAAGAGAGCAGCTTAATTATTCCTTCAGGCCAATAGCTTTCAAGGCCCAGCACCCCTGGCAATAACCTCTTTGCTAATTATGCAAATACATTGAGACAAGACAAAATTAAAAGGAGGGAGGGGGGGGAATGCTCCGCATGGCTTTCACCTCATGTTATCCTCCCCTCCTGCTACTTCCAGTTTCATTCAGAAAGTCTTTTGTACCCCCTCCTTCCCTCTTGCCAGTTCCATGTCCGCCTTTTTTCCTTCAAGTATTCAGCAGTTGTATACAAAAAGCATCTAATAATACTGGAGACTCACCAATGAAATGCTGCCTATTGTTCCACTGCAGCGCTGTCTAAAATTATTACAGCCGTTGGGAACAATAATTTGTGTTTATTGGTTCGATTCTCAGGTGATGTTGGGTGTGTGCTGCGTCCACATGGCACAGCCATTGTCGCTGGCTGTCGGCTGCCCTCGGGTGCTGGCACTAAAACAAAGAAGCTTTTTTTCCCCGTCCTTATACCGAGCAACTGAGTTGACAGATTCATTGGTTTCCTACTCAGTAGCTGCCAGTTGATTGTACTGCAGTGATTCAAACTGTGACATTGATGGGATTCTCAGTGTTGCGCATTGGACTGCTTAGGGAAATGGGATTAAGTGGTTCTGTGAATGCACATGTGTGCGGACGCTTGTGTAAAATGTGTGTGGCTGTGGTCTGAGAGAAAGAAGTGGCCATGCTGTGCTGGAGGACCCGCCCGGATTCACAGTGAATAACAAACATGCACAGCAGGAGGCGGGGCTGAAAGGAGGGCAAAGACACACACTAAAACCGCTAGAACAGTTGTAGTTGTTCAGGGAAGGTTAAGGCCGTGCACTTTGCACACTTCTGCAGATCCAGCACAGCACATTCACACTGAGTGTGAGAGAATTCATGCTTGTACACTAACATCTATATATATTCCTAGAAATGTGTGCATTTATTTCTTATTTCTGCATTTCTTATTGTCTTTTTTCTCCCACTAGTTTTTTAGTCACTACCAAGCACAAGGAGGCTGTAAATATTAACTATTTCATCATTGGCTTCTGAGCTCTCAATTTAGAAACCAGAACCATATTTAGAAGGTTCTGGTTTAGAGGGCAAAGTAATCAGTTCCTGCTGCTAACCTTTATTTACAAGCAGCTTCCCATACATCACTTACAGATAACTGCTGAAGTACTAGAATTTCAATCACCAAAACTGCAGCACAAACATCACTCTAAGTCATATGATTTTTCAGATAATTCCTTTAAAATAACACTCTAAATAGGGTTTTGTGTGGCGCAAGCTTTACTGCCTTATTATGTTTCCAAAATGGGATTAAAAAGTACGTTGTGCATCAGTCAGTTCACATAAATAAGATGTCACTTTGAACATTGACCGACAACATTTTAATTGACCTCTACACACAAATTTGCATACCCTAACACACTCAAACCTCCTCATCGCTTCTTTGTTTTCTCCTTTCAGCTCATTTACACCAGGTCATTCACCCATGCTAGCTGGATGAAACAACATGCTGCGGCCCTGCGGTCCCCTCAGTGCCTGGTTAAGAGAAGCAAACAGCAGGCCCGGCTTAGACCTCCTGGTCTCTGACAAACAAACTCCTCCCTAAGCTCAGTACACAAGGCTTTTATGAAGCATTGAAGATACCCTTTTTGATGCCAGTTTCAAAATACAGATTAAAGACAAAGTCATGTGCTGCATATCAATGAGAGTTTTTAAGCTGTGCTTTTCAGAGGCGGAGAAAGGAGACTATTTAATTTTTTTTTTCTGCTTCAACACAGACTTTTTTTAATCTTTATTTGTGAGGGCACAGCTTGAATTAATCATAGTGTTTTGACATAGGAGCACCATTGTGCCTGCTGCCAGACTCCTCTTGGTATAAGCTGATTAGCCAGAAGCCGTTTCACTCACCGTTTTTAAACTTCAAAATATGTTCTGTGGTTTCAAAAGTTACCCGTGTTTCATTGTATTTTGTTGTCCCTTTCCAATTAAACTGACTGCAGTCTCACGCTTAATACAGTAGTTGTCTTCTGTCACCAATAAATGAATTCCTGAGGGTTTCTCCAGTCAGCGTGCTCCTTTTTTCAGGTTTCATGATTTTCACCTTGGCGCCAATATAAATCGCGGATGCTGTTTTCTATGTAGGGATTATTCCAATAAAATAAAATCGCTGATGAGACATAGTGTCTTCTCAACTCTCAGGTTCTCCATATTGATAAATCGCTGCAGCACTGACTGATTAGGAAGTGTGGCTCAAATGTTCTCTCTGGAAATAACTCCTGATTTACGCTCAAGCACACTGACGGGGATGCTGTGTGGTTTGTACAGTAGACGGCGGCTGAGTACCAATTCATTTGTTGAGATGTGCACTTGTCTCATACATCTTACTGAACTGTAAGAAGAAGCAAGACTCTAATTTGAGTCGTGTCAATAAAACATATTGTTCTTCATTAGTGAAAGTCATGAGAAATGAAACCAGTCAGAAAGAAGCGGTATAAATGTAAACTAACTGATTTTGTTAGATTGCTTTACTCTGTCACACCGAGCTGTAAGACTTTGTGTTCTGGCGTGTTGATTCTCCGTCCTTTTCTCTCTTATTATTGACTTGAGAAATGCTGCTGTTGCTCTGAGTCTCAAGGACTAACATAACAACTTGGCTTTAACCTTTTCATTTTTTCTACATGTATATTTATGTCTTTGTCAGAGTGGAGATATACAAGTCTTCTTTGTGAAGTTGGGAACACAGAAAACTTTGGATCTGAAGGACCAAAACACATAAACACAGCGATGAAAACATAAGAATAATGAAAAGTATATTTTTGTCCCCTGCAGGAAACTATCAGCTCTCACCGACCGTCAACATGCCGCAGGACGACACAGTGATCATAGAAGATGACCGGCCGCCGCTTCTTCCACCCCACCTTTCCGACCAGTCGTCCTCGAGCTCGCACGATGATGTCGGCTTCGCAGCTGATGTGACTCCACCGTGGACCAAAGAGCTGCCCAATCAGAATCACAGGTAGGCGGAAACTGTTGTTTCTGGTTAGCGTACAGTTTAACACGTTTTCCACAGAGCTACTGTGCCTAAATCTAACAAAACGGCATATAATATCTGAAAATAATAAGGTTTCTTGGAGAAAAACTTCATATGCAACAGGTTGTTTGTTTTTACAGCTACTTGAGACCTCGCAGTCATGCGGTATCAGGCACTAGATGTTAGCAGCGGGCTCTTTAAGCTCTGTAAACTGTGAGATGGTTCCTGTTCGTTCGATGCTCTGAACACTTGTTCTGGAAGCTGTTCCTTAAAATTTTACATTATAGCCCAGAGCATCATGTTGCCTCAGTAGCTGGCCTTTTCCCACAGTGCACCCCGATACAACTTGTGTCTGACAAGAGCAACAGAAAACATTATTGTTCTAACAGATTGCTGCCATTACTTATTTAATGATTTGCCATTCGAAGGGCTGCACTGTACTGAGACCTTCCTGTCTTATTCAGCATGAACTTTTTCAGCAGTTTATTCTGGAGTAGCTCTTCTGTAGCATCAGACTACACAAGCCAGTCTTTGCTAACCAAAACACTGTCACATGTGCGGCTCCTTGGACCACTTCTGTTGGGCCCAGTTGCCGAGTCTGACCTTTGTCAGAGTCCCTTAAATCCTTATGATTGCTCATTTCCCTGTTGGCTCAACTTCAAGCACTAACTGTTCGCTTGCTGTCTAGTACAGTATATCTCACCCTTTTGTGAGGTGATAATCAGTGTTTTGTCTGTCAGGTGTTTCAGTGTTGTGGATTATCGGTGTGCAGATTGTTTGTTTTTTCCAGCTGATTGCTCTTTGATTGTAAGCAGCGTTTCCTGGAGCAGCTACTTTTCTTTTTCCCCCTACTATCCTCTCAGCCTGATGTCCTTTTCTGCCACAGTGATGATAAGGACATCTTGAGTGTGTCAGTGTGAGAAAGATTAACAGATATTTTTTTCTGTCTGTTTTTGTCTGTTAAGTTTTTCTTCCATTCTACTGCTACCTTTATCTCCTCTTTTACTTTCTTCCATACAGATAACTCCTTGTCTCCTGCTGTCAGCCTTTCTGCCCTCTCAGTTCTGCTGTTTTTATTTTAGTTCTCACCGTCGTGCTGTCTTCACCAACCCTGTTTCTCTCATTGCCCCAATCTATATTCCACTAGTTCCAGTTGCTCAGCTCCCATACCTTCTTCTTGATTTTTGCCCCGTCCCTCCCCGATGCCCTTCATGTTCATGTTTGAAGGCCTCGAGTTCAAAGAGGACAGCTTCTTTGAATCCTTCTTAACTTATACCATGTTCAGCTTTCTTCTTCCCACTTTTCTTTCTTTCTTTTCTGCTTGTAGAATGTGTTTACTTTCATTTTACATTCCTTTTATATAAAAAAAATTATGACAACTATTTCAAAACATTCCTGTTTTTGGAGTAATTAAATCCATTGAAATGATTTTGAACACATATTTGTCTGTGAGGTTTTCCGTGTGTGAGATCAGGTCCAGCTCATCTTAACCTGTCGCACTCTCCATCCAGCTCTGCGGCTCCAGATGAAAATCATCCAGATGGTGCTTTCCAGAGGGAAGGTTTTGGACGCCAGAGCATGTCAGAGAAGCGCACCAAGCAATTTGGAGACGCCTCTCAACTTGAAATCATCAAGACACGCAAGTCCAAGAGCATGGATTTAGGTAGAGTGTTTAAAAACTTTCTGCTTCTCTCCATCACTCAACTTCGACTTAAGAATTCAAGGATTTTCCAGATGCTACAATAATGCCTTTCATATAGACTAAAGCCGTTTGTACACACTCCTCTTTCATATTCATATAGTGCTAATACTTTTTAAAACATAGTCGGCGTGTTGCATCAATCATCTTTGACTCAGAATATCCCGATGAAAGCTTTTTAATCCCATTCACATTAAAATCCAGGTTATGCTTATAAAGTAATTGTGTTTAGACGTCCTAAAGTTAAGAAATAACCAGTTTAATACCCATTGATACAGAAAGTAAAAGCAAATAATCCACGAGGACCCACTATTGTTAATTCTAAAAGAAAATGTGAACAAATTAATAGTAAAGGCATATACAACATGAGTGCTATACCCATGCGTTGTTTGTTGGTGAAGAAAAAGTTGCATATGGCTTATGAAACTTTTTGGTGAAGTCGGTGTTTAAAAGTAATTTTGATCAGTTCAGTAAACCTAGTTAACTAGTTTAACTGGATTTCATTTAACCTTGAGTGCATATCTTTGCATGCTCCTCGCGTTTCACTCATGTACCTCGTATTTAAATGTATTCCACCCCCTTTGCCTCTTGGTTTGAAAACACACTCTGCATCTCTCGCCAAAGTCAAGAACTTCACTGTGTTGATTCACCTTGAAATGGCTTCGAACAGTCGCTGATTGCTTTGGCTGCACCAGTCTCTCTGCTCGCACTCTCTATAATCATATCTAATCTTCCCGACCAGATTGCTGCTGTGTGCCATGTTGATATCACAACAAGTCTGATTGCTATCCTCAAACCCTCTTTTCATTTCCCATCTCCCCCCACACCGACCCCACCCCCCTGGTCTCGCATGGCTTCCGATCCTAATTGAGATGAGGCTCGTTCTGATGTTTGCAGCGCTACCTGTATGTTGCATGTGGAATGTCGTGAGCACTAACTGAACCCCAAATGTTTGTATCCCTTCTCTCTTTCCCCCCTTCCTTTAACAGTAGCCGACGAGATTAACCTCACACCTCATCCTGAGACCTACACAGGTAAGGAACGGTGCACTGAAAGGTTGATTTAAAAGCCAAAAAACAAGAACATCTTCATCATATTTTCATTCTTGAGCTGCATCTCAGAAGTGTGGTACTGAAGGGTACAGGTGATACCGTATTTTTCAGACCATTATAAGGCGCGCTGTCGATGGACGGGTCTGTTTTCACACATAAGGCACATTAAGTTAAACAAAACAGTCAGATAAGTCAAACTTTAATCAGCTCATTCTTCTTGCTTCCTCCACTTCTGTACCATTGATTCATTAATGTTGAATTCTCTAGCAGCTGCTCTATTCCCATGTTGTTGCAGTATATTAATGACTAACCTCGTATTGTGGATGGATTATCTCAGTTTGTTCTCCTGACTGAAGTTTAGTCCGTTTCAAACATCCTGCCGTGGGACTGCATTTTTCCCTAACCAGCCGGGACCCTCTTAGCGTTCATCCTCCAGCTTCCCTGCGTTTATGTTATGCTAACATAGCTGCATTGCTAGCGATCACGTAGCACATCACTATATACCAGCTAGTCCAACTTCAGTAACCCAACAAATCATCATCATCAACATCATCATCATTCAACCAATATTAAAAGAGAATTGCAATAATCTAAACGTGAAGTAATAAAGGCATGAATAACACTTTCCAAGTCACAATTGGAAAGAAAGCGCGTTAAACGTCTGAGGTGATAGGATGCTGATTTTACCACCCCGTTTATGTGGTCATCAAAGGTAAGTGCAGAATCAGTTTTCACTCCAAGATTTGTGATCGAACTCTTTAGTTGGGAAGTCAAAGCTGCAAGATCAACATCTTGAGTGTGAGGAAAAACGATTTGGGCCAAATAAAATCGCTTCTGTCTTCCGATCATTAAAATTTAAAAGTTCGACTTGGGAGACTATCAGAATGACTAAAAGCTAAATAAAGCTGGCAGTCATCTGCATATAGATGGAATGACACTTTGTTTTCGGAAAATCACGCCAAGAGGCAAAAGGTACAGTGAAAACAATAACGGCCCAAGAATAGATCCCTGTGGCACACCCCAAAGCAGAGGGGCCACAGAGGATGAAGCCGACCCCAACTTAACACAAAAGGTCCTATTTAAGAGAGGACTTTAACCACAAAAGTGCCGAACCAGAAATTCCCACACAGTGCTGTAAGCGAAAGATCAGCAAATCGTGATCCGCTGTGTCGAATGCAGCGGTCATGTCCAACAAGACCAGCACTGCATATTTACCACAGTCTGTCGCTATCAGGATGTCATTCTTAACTTTTACGAGAGCTGTCTCCGTACTGTGAAATGGCTTAAAGCCGGACTGAAAGATAAACAAGACTGAGTATAAATAATCCTTTCCAGAATCTTACGAAGAAAGGGAAGGTTAGAGGTGGGTCTAAAATTTGATATGACTGAACTGTCTAAGCCAGGTTTCTTAAGTAAAGGATGTATGACTGCATGCTTAAATTCCCTAGGTACTTGACCAGACAAAAGACTAGTATTAATGTTCAGAATGTGTGGTCCGATGGTAGGAAATACCTTTTTAAGAAAACGGGGAGGAACAACGTCATTTGGAGAGCCACACGATTTAGCATTCACTGCTGTTTAGTTTTGTCTTCATTTATGTTTGAAGTGATAGCAGAGCTGTGCGTTTTAATTTTTTCAGAAATCTCTGTCAGACATGCTATATCATGTTTAGGTAACTTCCCGCTAACTTCTAACTCTGTTAAATTGAATAAATTCTGTTTTCATGGATGCCTGGATGTTAAACTTAATTGTTACATCTGGTAAAGCAGCAAGGCTGATCATTTTATTAAAGATGCAAGAATTTAGACAGTTTTTAAATCTCAGTGATGCCGCAGTGTTTGTTTGACTTTGGGACCTGAAGCAGACAGTTTTTTGACAGATGTTTGAGCGCCATGTACCACATAAAATCGGTTGGAGGTCTGTAAGCACAACCAGAATCCATACATAAGGCGCACCGGATTATAAAGCGCACTGTTGATTTTTGAGAAAATTAAAGGATTTTAAGTGCGCCTTATAGTGCGGAAAATACGGTATTTGGTTTATACGTCATATGAGGCAGTTGTGTTTAATCTTATAAATGTCCTCAAGATGGGTTTTTAGATATAAGTTACTCACATAGTAATGTGTGCTTTCTGGGGAATAGGCTTTCCAAAACTGGAGGAAAAAGAAGAACTGTCTTCATTTGTTATAACAAAAGTTCAAGTTAATGTCCTCCAGCAACAAAGAAGTTTACTCAACTCTGTTAGAAACCAGCTTAGGCCCCACTGATCCAAGTCCTGCATATCATCTTCCCCTTTACTTTTTCTTTTATAAAACAGATCGCAGATTAATTTAGCAACACATTATTCAACCTTCTTGCAAACGATTTAACTGCAGATTAGAGTTGGTTTTATAACTACACCCTTTTTCTTTCTTTCTTTTTTTTTGTACCAGAGAGATCGATTCATAACAGGTACAAGGCAGGAATTGCACAGGAGCTACAATGACAGCCATTAAATTAAACATTGATCTACAAACATAGATTATGCAGCTTGCTTGCAGGGTTCGTTTTTAAAGTTTACCCACTGCTCGAGTCTTTATGCATTTGTGTAGTGTTCCCCGTGTTTAGTGTTTGGCTCGATCGCTGGCAAGACAAATTTGTCAGTTTGCAAAGTGAAGACTCGTAGCCCTCGCTGCACTTTAAGGTCACTGCTGAACACGGTTGTGAAAGCAGTCGGGTGACTGCAGATTAGATTTTCTCCCGTTTTGCCTCAAATGCCGCTGTTGCGCTAATTATTTTGTGAGCGCGTGGCAGTAGAGGGAGCAGAGAGAAAGCGCTCTGTCCTTGGTTAAGGCAGTGAGCTGACAGCGAGTCATCAGTCACTGTCAAGTCTTGTGTATTTTCGCTGTCGCTTCAACTGAATAAAAGGGTCTGCCTCTGAAATTGGTGACATGGACGGAAGGAAGATGTGCGGAGCAGGAGCGAGAGGGACGAGACTTTAGACTTTGAGAAATAAGATGTTTTGGGGCAGCTCGCAGCAGGTGTGAAAAACAAATAAAAATGCAGATTGATGCCGAGGCCACCATTGTCATTCTTTTATGCAACCTCTTGTTTTTTTTTTAACAGCATGTGGGTAACAGTGATTTTGTTCCCAACTTTTAATCATGTTGTGATGGCCTGAGTCAGCGAGGATGGGAGTGCTGCATATTTTATAAGCCGTGTCTGCCAAATGGTGGCAACAGATGAGTCAACTGTACTTGTTGCATAATCTGATAACAGCCAGAAAAGTAACAACTTGGCATCACATCTTAAAATCCATCAAGCTCTCATGCCTAAAATGACAAAATACATTATTCTTAATAGTTTAATAACAGGTTTCTTTAAGTCGCACATATAACTGTTTGATTATGGTTGGGGGAAACATCAACGTCAAGCTAAAACACTGGTTGATTGAAGCAGGAGGGCTTTAATGTCAGAGTTAGATGCTTTGTACGCACAACTGTCTGTCTCCGCTTCCTAAATGACAGCCAATGCAGCAGAGACCACAAACAGTCAAGACACAGGCTGTTTGAAGCATAGAGAAGGATGCTGTGTAAATGTAAACGTTCAAATCCAGATGTAAGCTCGTTTCGGCAAATGACTTCAGATGACTCCAGAAGAATGCTAGTAGTGACCGATAGTATCCCTTCTTCTAAAAATCCCTTGGATCTGAAAACAGTTTATCATGAAACTGGTTGTGTGGTTACAGTTTAATTACCGTTGGCTTATCTTTTTCCTTTTCACTGAAATTTTGAGATTCTAATTTCAAAGACTAAATGTGCTGAAATTATTATAATCTAATTGATATTCTGCTTGAAATTCATGAAAAATAAAGTGTTTTTAAAGGCTGGAATCAGATTCCCTTTCCATTCCCCGATTGGTTTGACTAATAGATTCCACCCTGTTTTTTTCTTTAAGTGCTCAGTGTTTATTTTTAGCTTGTTGGCCTCTGGTGTCACTTTACCGACTTTTTTTTCTTTTCCCAATATTTGAACTCTCCTCTAAGTACAAGCGATCCATGGTCCATTTAGCAAAGTCAAAACACGACCATCCTGCTGAAACCAAAGACTCTGACAGCTCCAAGAGGGGATACAGCGGCCCTCCTCTCCTAAGCTGTGATTGACTGAGATGTTTGTTGGCACAGGCCACTGCCACATGTTGGACGAGGACACTCCATTGACGGAGGACAATACTGGACTGTTGGCAGTCTCTGAAACTGCATCCAGATTTCTTGCAGGTCTAAATCTGTGAGAAAGTGACCCCTGCGTGATCTCTGTAAAGTTCACACTTCAAGCTCGTTTATATGAATTTTGGGAGGTAGGAAAGGTTTCCCAGAGTGAACTATGGGCTATTTTTGAAACATGAGTCAGTGTTTTTGTTGAGGAGTGGGCCTAAACTGTTGTCTCAATATCGTAACACTGACAAAAAAAAACCTCTTGCAAAAGAAAAGGCTGGTAACTAAAAACCTGACATGACTGCTGCCTCAATCTACCATTATGCCACCAACTGGGCTCGTGTGGCAATATAATTACAACAGTATAAATGGAAATATAACAATTATCTTAATCTCACTGGTTGCCAGCATGTGAGCAGTCCTCTGTATGACCTGTATGCTTTTTGAGGTGCTGACTGAATAAGACGAAATGTCCTCACCAAGTTACTTAAAAGTCAAGTCTTATATAAAGCAAAAGTTTTTTTTTTCATGTTTGTGACTAAATGCCATTTGTCAGATCTCCAACTCAGTGTAAACTATTCTTTCTTTTTTTGAAGACTGCCGCTGAAGTGTGACTTTTGTGAATGGCACTGGGCAAAGCCTTTAAATAATGTGGCTGCACAGCGTGAAAAGCCTATCAGGCCGGCTCTCAGTAAGACGTTAAGGGAACAGGACAGGCTGATGAGAATGAATGGGAGGCTGCTAACCCACAAGCTTGTTCATTCTGCATGTATTCAATTTTCCAGCTCTGTCCCCCCCTCCCTCTTTCGCTCACTCTGTCTACAGTTTTTTATTTTGGATTTTTTTTTGGGTCAGTCTCAATGTGAGTAAGCTGCCTGGCAAATATTTTTTGCTTGTTTCCAGACTTGGCGTTTGTGAATATACGACAGCGCTGGCAGGTCATTTTAATATATTACAATACATTTTGCCCAAATTGATTTTGTTTAAAGAATGCCAGCAACATTCTGCCTATAAATAACAATCGAAATCTTTGCAGAAGCTTAATGTGACTAAAATAGGTTGAAAGTAATCTCATTCATATATTTGAATGTTTGAAAGAAGGCCCGGTCATATGCTAAAATGTACAGATTCAGTGCTCTGCTTACTGTTACATGTTGACTCGTCTCACTGCTCTATTTTCGTCATGTCTTTGGCTTTTATTTGTATGTCACTTCCTACTACTCCAAACTTTGTGCTATTCTTTTGTAGCCTATCGTTTTCATTCAGCCTCCCGTGCCGTGACAGCTCGTGCTATTCTGTTAGGATTTGTGTATTTTGCAGCCTCCTCATACACTCTGAAGTGACACCACCCAGGAGATTAGGGGCTATTTCATTTACCTCCCAACCTCCTCACCTTATCTTTTTTCCACATTTATTATTCACCGTACATGTACTGAGCCTGTGAAAGGTGCCATATGGGAGCAAAAATTATACCTGCACCACTGTCTGAATAGTCTTAGTTTAATTAAACTGTCATGTTTCTCCAATTTTGCTGATGGTTATTTTCATTTAGAGCCACATCTCGTAATGAAATTTGTACTCGGTCAGTGGCGTTGTCGCACGTGCACACAGGAGAAGCTGCGCACACAATCGATAAGCCTCCCGTCTTAGTGAAACGAGCATGCCAGGTTTGATTACGGTGCATTGTTGTTAGAGGTTATTGCTTATTGTCCCTTAGGAGACCGCTCATCTTCAGGTAAACCAGGTGTTTTAGTCACGCTTCAGTAAAGTAGTAGTTGGACTAATGAATTATTAACCAATTATTACCAAAAGATCAAGAGCTATACTAAAATGTTCATGTTTTATGATGTTTTTATGACAATATGACATCAGCCTATTATACTGTCAGGGTGTCATATTTAAAACACTGTTATTCAGCTAAAGCTCACATGACTACAAACAGTTTTTTGTGTTTTTTCCTTGGAGTAAGCCCGTCTTTTGTTGGCGTTAACAAGAAATTAAGCCTTTAATCACACATTGTGGAAAAAGAGACTTAACAGTAGACACGTAACATCAGCTGTCTGTGTATGGTGTTCCTGCAGCCTCTGCATTTCCTCGTCATCATCATACACACACGTGTGTGCGCTGAGGATGCTGCAGAAGCGTTCACCTTGAGGGAATGGTGAAGCTGGCTGGAACAAATCCCAGACTGCAAAAAATAAATAAATAAATAACTCTCGTACGATACACAACAGTACTGCGGCTACATACAATCAAAGCGGACACACTGGGGAAGAGTCTGAGGTCATAGTTGGACAGCTTTAGTGTGCTGCTGTTGTTAAACATGTGTGACGTTGCTGAGTCAGTGTTTACGGTGGGAAAAACGAACACGCCCATCCTCTGAAGTCATCCTCTCACATAACTCTCCTGTTTTTGTTTCATATCCTTTGCATCATCATTCGCCATCCGTTGTCCTTCGGCATATTTTAAACACAGTTGTCTACTCTTTAAATTTTCCACAGCAACTCTGTTACCTTATCTTCTAAAAAAGATTGCCTGGTCAGCAGGATCAGAGGAAACAAGGCAGCATTAGTGACAAAATCCATTCGTGATTGAAACAAAACAGGACTCATGACTCCTACGTCTAACATAAAAGACATGATGTGGTTGCACATTAGAACAAAAGCCAGCAGCTCACACTCAGCCCTTGTTTGTTAGTTTGAAATCAGCGTACAAGTTTCCAACAGTTCTGATTACTGTGACCATGCAGTCAAAGTTAATTATAGCATCAGCTCTATGTAGCCACAGTAGCTGCTTAATGTACCACCTCTAATTCCATATTGTTGCAGGGACATTGCCATCAAAAGTAATCCTCTGGGTCATCAGTTCCTCTGATGGCAGGAGTCCACAAAGAGTCTTGTGATCACTCCTAAAGCGATAACGTAGCGAGCTGTTTTTTTGCTCATGGCTAAAATGTTTTTAGATAGTGGGAGACTGTGAGTCAGCTGCTTGTTGTTTTGAAAGTGTCAAAAAAGCTGCTATGCAGGCATTATACAGATGTGGTACACATGGATAAGTAAAGGATGATGAGAGCTACACTACAAACAAGGCAACATCTTAACAATAGAGGTGACGTTAGTTTTTAAAAAACATTTTTACCTGTTGTAATAATACAGCTGGCTCCTGAAGAAACGTTTTTCATTTGTATAAGATGTGTTGCCTGTATGCTAAACTTATATCCTCATATGTCAGCATAGAGATCCATTCTAGTGTATAGTACAACAAACGATACTATAAAGCATTAATGGGGTCGCTTGAAGGCCTCTGCTGTGGATGGAGAGGTCTTGGTCAGAGTCGTTTGCTCATGTCATTCACTCCGTACCGCTATATCCCCCGTCAGGTTCTTCCACAAAGGACGTGGGGCCATCGCTGGGCCTAAAGAAGTCCAGCTCGCTCGAGAGTCTCCAGACAGCAGTAGCAGAGGTAACTCTGAACGGGGACGTCCCCTTCCACAGGCCTCGCCCTCGTATCATCAGGGGGCGGGGCTGTAACGAAAGCTTCAGAGCAGCCATCGACAAATCCTACGACCGACCGGCCGCCACGGAAGAGGACGACGAGGGCATGGAGACATGTAAGGCATCAAATGGACCATCTTAATGTGACCGTCTTTTCGCAGCATCACAGGTTTGATTCCCACAGTGACCACGCTGTCCCCCTAACCGGGCGGTTCCTTCGCCTACACTGTGTCATGTGAAATGTTATGTGGCATTGCATTGGGTTACTGAAATGATGCCGACTCGCACGAACAGCAATGATGATTCCCAGCAGGGATCATTATTGAAACGGATGAAGTGTCAGCACCTAAAATTTTGAGGTGGCTTTCATGCTTGTGCATGGGAGTGACGGCATTCTGACTAATGCTCAATATCTGGCAGCTGATATTATCACTGCTTGTGGCAATGGCATATGGGTGAGTCAGGATGTAACCTGCACTGTATCAGATATCACAGGGTCACAGTGTCACTAAGGGGCAGCTTATGTGGAGTCGACAGAGGAGCTTCCATCTTTTGGGAAATCTGTTCAAATTTTAAACTGCTATATATATAAAAAAACAGCTTTTTAATTTATAGTAAAAGTCAAAATGTCTCAAAACCTCTCAAGCATACATTACTTTTTGAGCAGTGTTAAGTCAATTTAGGTAAAGATTACACAGGGTAACCTGATAAACAATCCTCCTTCTTTGCTTTAGTCTTTTTATTCTGTGTAATCATGAACTAAACAATCCAAATATAAGAACTGAGAATGAGACAGCAGTGTAGCTACTGTATCTTTAATCTGATGTGCTGATTGTCCAATGACTCATTAACGATTCAATAACCGCAGTATTGCAAAAGTATGAAGATTATGTAATTTAGGTAGCGTACCACACCATAGTGTCATAAAACTCTACAAATGTGTCGCCGTTCACCATAAGTCTGTGTCTAATGGTCTCTAATGGTTTCTGTCTCGTTTTAGAGCAGAGCTCTTTAAGCACTTGTAATATGTATTTAAATTGTATTAGTCTCTTGGTGCTTAGGAGACATAATTGCGCGTTTATGACTTATAGATTTTCATTTATTAAGGTTATTGATTTTCACATGTGCTACAGTCCATCTTAAAACTTACCTGTTCAATGGTTAACACGAACGCTTTCTCCGTTCCTTTCCAATTTTCTTTCCCTGTCGTCTTCTGTTTTTATCGCTCCCTCCCTTTAGTGGAGGAGGACACTGAGGAGAGTTCACGGTCGGGGAGAGACTCTGTGTCAACAGTAGCGGACCAGACGCCGCTGTCGATTACCGAAAAGCCACTGGTCAACGGCACAAACCGCACCAAAGAGGAGAAGAAGAAGGACAAAGACAAGGGAGGGAAGGAAAAGAAGAAGCCGGAGGGAGGGAAGGAGAAGGACAAGGGAAAACCTAAGAAGGGGATGTTGAAGGGACTCGGAGACATGTTCAGGTAAAGTTTTAAAACTTTTGAAGTGAGTAACAGTAACTAATCAAAGACTTTATGGTTTCATTAAATAGTAATCAGAGCTGGAAGCAGACTAGTCCTCATTAAATTTTACAAAGTTCAGTTTAGTTTTAAAGAAATTTCTGTGCATGCAATGTCAATATTTTAATATATGCAAACAGATTTAAGCTCGTGAGCTTATAATGCAACTAGGGTCATCTTATGGACTGAATCTGTGTATGTAGTCAGACACACACTTGCATTTTCTTTGTATTATTTTACTATTTTTACTTTTTGGTTCAACTTTGCCTGAGAACAAATTGCAAAACATAATCGCTCAGTTACGGAGGCCCTGAGAGGCCAAATGGACTGCAACTTAAGAAAACAACAGTAATAAGAAAAACGCTGCAAAAGCACACAAAACACAACGGAAATAGGAAAAAACAGATTTCCAAAAGCACAAGGGGAGTGTTTCTGGGGAGGCAATAACCTGACGGACCAGTTGCAGGAACCCAAAACGTGTTTGTTTTATCACGATTCATACAATACTGATGACGGATTTTTAAAACAACTTTATTTATCTCCAAGGGGCATTTAAGATAATAGTTAGGCTAACACACTTGCCTCTCATCTTTTCTTTCCACACAAAACCGATAGATCCTCCACTTCTTTTAAGTGTCTCCGAGCATAATTCTTAGCATATTTTGGTTCCTGCAAGTGGTCCGTTGGGTTATTGTCTCCCCAGAAACACTTCCCTTGTGCTTTTGGAAATTAGTTTTTTCCTATTTCTGTTGTGTTTTGTGTGCTTTTGCAGTGTTTTTCTTATTACTGCTGTTTTCTTAAGTTGCAGTCCGTTTGGCCTCTCAGGGCCACCGTACACAGTCTGTTCATATTTTATCTTGAGGTGTTGTAACTTGTGTTTTGCCTTGTGTAGCAGACAAATCCGCCTCCAACGTGTGCGCTTGTCCCCTTAATAAAGCACGACGGCAGCAGATGACTTTCATTTGGGTGTAAAAACGTCATGTCTTTGAGGGTTGCTGTGTCCTGTACCCCGCCTCCGTAACTTTTTAAGAGTGGAAAAAGAGAGAATCAATATCGGTTCAATATCTGATGTTCAATATCAGAGCTCGTGTCAAAGCCACAGTGATCGATGCTGTGAACAGTTGATACCGCCTCATTAAGTGAGCTTTGTATTCTGTCTGCCTGCGTGAAGAGCAAGAACCTTAAATCACTCATTATAGGTCTAAACATGGACAAACTGAACTTTGTTTTTTTTTATTGTTGTTTTTTAGACAGATGTAACATTTCGCCTCATTTTTGGAACGCTTGGTAGAACAGAAAGACCTGCATAATGGAGACGATTGACAAGCCTGTTATACAACCGTGGCACTGCTAAATAGTCTGAGGAAACCTTAATTAGACTCCCAGACAACTTGACCTTTGTGGTTTATCTCCCTCTAATTAATTTCTTTTCAGCCTCTGATATTACAACTGTTATGCTCTCTTATAGCTAAACAGCACACACAAACGCACTCTCATTAGCGTGTTGTCTACATATTCCCTCCCCTTTCTCTGTCCCAATCCTCATTACTATTGGAGTACAGGTCGTTTGGTCTGCAGGTCTTCTCATCCGATTTGTTGGAAAGCTTTAGATCTTGCCAGTAATTTTATCTGTCTGTTATATTGACCAAAGTGACAGTGACACAGAGTGGGGAAAACAGCGAGTATATCAGACAGAGTATCAATATTTGATGGGGAGAAATAATGAGGTCCACAGAGATGAGGAGATAACGAAAATATGTGCAAAAGAAGGACGGGGTTTGGAGCAACAGGTAGCGAAAGACAAACGCAATCTTTTGAAATAAAAAGTAGATGAGAGAATAAAAGGAGCTTTAAACTCATGAGGGTGAGGGAAGAGGAGTGGATTATGTGGATTTGAGGGGAATTTTAACAGTGAACATTTATAGATCCAGTTTATAAAATGGAGAACCAAAAATTAACATTAGAATGCTTTCAAAAATTTGTTTTTGCTATCAGTCAACTTAAACAGAAAAATAAATAAAAGACGTGAAAATTCAGATAAATATTTGGTGATGCGGCCCTTTAAACAATAAGATCCTCTTGCTCAGTGTTTCAGGGAGTTTTTGCAGGTAGGCTGGGCTAGTAGTTGTTCTTTTCACTGAGATGGTACTGTAATAACTTGGTATAATTTAAGGTTTAAGCTTATCTTTATTTATCTCAAACTGGGCAGGGCCTAAAACGAGCCATTGTAATCTCTCTTTAAGCCAGCTTTGTTCTGATTGGCTGCCCCTTACAAACAGAGGGGCGTGTTCCTGAGATGACCATATTGAGAAAATCCCCTCTCGGTGACATCATACAGAATTAGGAGCAGGAAAGTCTTTTTTTGGGCATCATGGTGTCCACTAATACATCCACTGTAACACTACAGAATATAGTTAATGTGATATAATATTTAATCCTCAAAACATAGGAATAAAATGCAAAGTACAGAAAAGGGGGATCAGGGGTTGAGACAGTGCAGTAAGACAATAGTTGCATATAAACGCTAGATTGTTATACACATCGACAAATACTGTAAATAACTCCACTATATACATTTGACCTAATTAGCTCCAACATACACGTACTTGAAGATATGCATTGCACATACTGACATGCAGAGGTTTATAGATATGCACAAGCTGCAAATACATGCTGGCTTTTGGATTTAAAGTGACAGGGAAGCTCACGCGTACAATTTTGGTCACAGACAACTGCACACTGCAGTAATCTTCTTTCCTTTCTTACAGATGCACATGCACTCACACCGACTTAGCGCTACTTTCCTTCTTATCCTGCCATATGTTAATGATTGGCGTGTATTGTCAAAGCATCAATGTTATCCTGCTCTGATTGGCTCAATATTGCCCACATCAGATCTGGTCCATTAAAACGCCGTCTGGCTGCCTGTTTGATCCACGCCTAGTGTTTACTGGCCGAGACAGCTGTGTGCCCCAAAATAATGATGTGAGATGCATTCAATCCATCTGTCTGTGTGTGTAATCTGGACCTCATACTAATTTTAAAGGGCACATCCCAGAAAGTTTGGCTTCAGTAAACTTGATATTGAAGCAAGTTCAAATTTTGAGGGGACCAGTTCATTTTATGGATGCAAATTTTTAAGTTTAAACAGTAATTCCTCCAATTTCATCAAAATATAAAATATAAATATATTTAAACTGTTGTGTCTTTACTCTATAATTCATACTACTGGGCAAGAAAGTATTGTATCTAAGAGGAAAATTAATAAAGTGTATTATTTACATCACAGTTTGTTGTTTATTTAGATAAATGACACTGGTAGAGACCTAATCTGAATATATATCATATCTGAACAGAGCAGGAAAAGCGTACATGTAGCTTTTTTACTAAAAGACACACAAAAAAATACCACATCCAGATTCCAAAATAAGCATAGAGAAAATCCAAAGGAGGAAAAAAAGTCCCATTAACACCCACATTGTGTGACTGAAAGGTGATATGTGGGAGCTACAGTTTAGCGAACACCACAGCAGTGAGCATTTAGCAACAAATATGTTACTAAGAGGGGGAAAAGCATTTGAATTTATGTATTCCATTAGTCAGTGTCAACACGTCGTGATGAAACTTAAGGCAAAGGCTGGCTGTGTGGAGAACAATGGCATAGGTTTTTATAAGTGTGCCCGTGTCACTCTGTGAATTGGGAAGTTTGAGACCAAGAGTGGCTGTACAGCATGTTAAGAGCTCCCGATGAGTGTCATGTGTTTGAGCGAGGCAGCGTTTGTGAGTGTCGGGGAGCTTGGATGTGTTAGCATGTAGGAGGAGTGGATCAAGAGAAGGGAGGCCCTTAGAAGTTGGAGGACCGTGTGTGTGTCTATGTACGCACTCGCGCACACGTGTGTGTGATCAACAGAGTTGCCACTGCCTGACCCTCTCATGTCTCGAAGGCCTCACACTCAGTCCCAATCAAAGCATCATTACCATCAGCCTCTGCCAACAGTGCGGCCTGCCAACTGTAGTCCTCCCTCCCCCTTTCTCCCGCTCCTCTCCTCTCTCGCTCTCTGATCATCACTTGGACACAGAAGCAACACCCAGTCTATGGGCTTGGCATCTGCGAACGTGGTCATTGCCCAGAAATTTGAGGGCTACACTAAATTTGCAGTGGTTTTAGTGCATGTTTGTGTGCGAGTAAGCGGAGCAAGCTTCGACTCGGAGATGGCTTGAACAGCGACGAGGAAAGATTAGTCATGGATGAAGGGACGTCAATGCATCGTGCTCTGTTATTCTGCTGCCCGCAAGATAAAATGCTAATAATTGCGGTCCTTATAGTCGTATCTGTAATAATATATTTATGTTGAGGTATTGCATGTAGTGCTGGGTGTTCCTGCAACTTAAGACATGGTATTCAATCTTGCAACACTACACCGACAGTGATGCAGCATGAGTGGGCTTAGGAAAGCGGCACTATTTTCAGTGATTTCACTTTGATTCGATTCTTTATTCTCTTCTTCATTTTCATTGGGTTCTCATTGGCTCTGCTTTGAGGGTCACCACCATCGCTAAGCAGAGACATTACATTCATGCAAATTAATTGCATGCTGTGTAGTCAAATGTTTGTGCATGTTGGAGGTATTTACCATCTTTGTTGTGGCCAGTGTTGGGGTCATTACTCAAAAAAAAGTAGTTAGACATGTTACACAGAACACTTCGTGATTCTACTTTAGAAACACGAAGACTGCAGCCTGACTTCTCATCACTGCTCTTTTGTTACCTGTTGAAGTTCAGGGTCTGGACGCTGGGCTGGGGTCGGCATTCACTCAGCTTTAGCATCCCTATGGCTAGCTTAGCATTAGCATGCTGTCTGTCCAGGTGCTTATAAAGAGCCAAAGATTCATTAGCTGCATATTAGCAGTTGTTTCTGTCTTATTTTGCACTTTAACATCGTGCATTCATACTTTTGTACAATAAAAATAAAAGTAATGTCATATCCACACTGTAGAAAGTACCACTGTTCCTCCTGGTGTGCAAATGCAACCGATGACCGGAATCGATTGGCAAGCAAACGAACAATTCCAAGGAATTGGACTGCTGGGAACTGGTTCTCGATTTTATCCTTAGTGGTTAATTGTAATAACAGTCCTTCCTATAAATCTGTGTACCAGATATGGTGAGTGAAATTCTAATGCGTTTCTGTTTCTATGTTACTTAGAGCTAATATGCAAGTATTTGTAAATGTGCACCCATGCGGATCATGGCTGTGCCTTCGCTCGATGAGGGGAAATTCCACCCTGTCATCTAAATATAATCACTTCTGGGTCTTAAAAAACTAAGATGGGGCCAAATGGCGCATCGGGTGACATCTGGGTTGGTACATCGATCATTTATATGGATATATATTTATATATATAGTCCATGGTTAATCTGTGTATAGTGTAAGACAAATGTGAGGCATTCTGCAGACTCAGTATACAGCTGGATTGATTAAAATAATTTAAAACAGTGTAACAGTTCCATCATTGAAATAAATGACTGAAAAATTCCGATGAAACACCTTCCTTGGAGACATGAATTTATATGAGTAATTTCACATCAGAAAAAGAAGTTGGATTGATGAAAACTTTTGCAATAATCTAAATGTGGCCTCGATGTGACAGAAGACACCAAGGCCACCTTAAAAATCTTAGTTTTAAACTTAAAGGTGTACACCTCAGCTGTGGATGTAATTCGATTAAATCAGGTCAGTCCATTCATTGGTTGTTGATGTTTTGCTCATGACCATCTGGTTGATAGTGTGTCTCTGCCCAGTGGAAATCAAAAACAAGTTACTTGGCAATTAGAGTTGCTCCTCACGCACGTCTTGATTATGCGAGTTCCCGAAAAACTGCGGCACGCTACCAAAAACTTGTTTTCACTTTTTGTGCTATTAAAAGGATTAACGGTGTTTCACGGGTGGTCTGCTGAATTGAATCAGCTCAGTCCCTGACATTTTGAAGTGATCTTTTCAAACCGCAGAAAGCAGTCAAAGCCTCTTTATCGATGCTGTTGCACTCACAACACGAGGCGGGCCTAACTGTGCCTGGAATATAAGATTATTAAAAGCCCTGGTGTCATGGTTAATACTCGGTCTCCTCCTCAAAGTTTTCCTTTTCAGTCATAAATCACACTGTGCGGGTGTTTGCGCGCGTTCGTGTGTGTGTGTATGACAAGGCTGTTTTTTTTAAAAGGGGCTGTTAATGAAAGTTAGTGGTGTGGAGAAAGTGTCAACCGTCTCTCGCCGTGATAGATCACTCCTGCTCTTAGCATTAACGGCAGGCTGTCACTCTGAGCATTTCAGACAGCCGTAGTTAAATTAATCAAGTAATGGCCCTTAGTCTGCGCCCCTCCCCCCTCCAGCTGCAGTTTTTCCTCCTCATTCCTGTCTCTTAGCTTTTCTGTTTGTCTTTTACACTCCATGGTATCAGTATATGCTGTCTTTGGGGTTAGTACTTAGCACAACATTCAAGGGAAGTTGTGTAGATGGTGTGAAAAACTAATTTGCAAAGCATTTTGTCTGTGTTGGGTATTAGATGGTAAAGATGTGACAGGAAGCGGGTCGAACTCTGAGCAGATCGCTCGTTTACCAGAAAGCAGCTTGCTTTTTCTTTAATTTATTTATTCACTCATTTTGTGGAGAAAGTTCACAAGCATTTACCCAGTTGACATGTTATGAGCATATGGATGATGCAACCCCATATTTAACTGTACCCCGGTACTTGGTCCAGCGGTCCTCAACCCCCGGGCCACGGACCGGAGTTGTTTGGTACCGGGCCGCGAGAGTTGAGGCTCGGGTGTGAAATTGATGGTTTTCAGGGTTTTTATCGTTAACTCTGTTTCCCTGGGTCTTTTCCCGTGTTGTAGTTGTGTCTTTTATTTTGAAAGAAATATTCACGCGTTACCATAGCGACCAGAGAGCATTAAGGGGCAGAGAGGAGGATGTTACTCTCAATGTTGGCGCATTTCAGGAGGACGCTGCTAATAAAGTTACACATTTACACATTGAATTCACGTTTATTATTATATTTACAAAATACCACAGTTTTTGTCTCGGTCGTATCTTTTTATTTTGTTGTATTTATCCGCGACACCTTAAAGGCCGGTCTGTGAAAATATTGTCTGACATTAAACCGCTCCGTGGCGCAAAAAAGGTTGAGGACTGCTGCTTTAGTTCAGTGGAGCAGAAGTTTGAGCTATGCCTTCCTGTATGATATCACCTTTATAGGTGTAGCTGAACCAGCGTGCGGTATCGAAGCGGTTTCTCCTTTTTTTTAATGTCTGTGAATCTACTGAAACAAGATGCTAGCAGTGTTGCAGTGCAATAGCAGGGACACAGCATTAATCAAAGTACCCTTGGTCATGTTTTTCCTTAGAATTGTACATACAGGAATAAAATCAATGCTACGCTTTAGTTTCACAGTACCTAAAACAGCGTAAGGATATAACTCGCCAGGAGCAGCAGAATATTGTCACATAATTAACCTGAAATATAATTTATATCTGCGATGTTGTATCTTGGGTCAAGCTTTTTAACCAGATGCTTACAGTCCCGCTTTTCCGTCTTGTAGCCATATCAGGAATTTCAGCTCTCGCTCTCAGACTTGCTGTTGTGTACACCGAACATAAACACGCGGCCTCGCTAAAGCTGTGATATTGTGACACTTAGTTTTTATATCACAACAAAATTTATAACTGTATCATCACATATTATGTAATTATGGTATATCTGCTACTAAACTAGTAGAACTATAAACAATATATCAGCGACTTCTTAAAAACGCCACAAACAGAAAGTCTTGGAAAGTCTTTTTCTCTCTCAGTTTATTTATGTTTTTAATGAACTATGACTTTGATCCACATCTTTTATTAATTTCCATACACTTTTTATCATACTCTTCTTTTTTTCATGTCTCATTTCATTGTATTTTTCCACAAAGAGAATTACACGATTCACATGACTTTAATTTAAATTTGCATTATGCATTTTTCTCTCCGGCCTGCATTCATTTATTTTTCTCTCTTACCTTTTCCCCCGCGCGCTGCCGTTTTCTTCTTTCTCTTTTATTTTTCAGTGTTTAACTCACTCCTACACTCTCTCACCTCTGGGTTTATGTGCAGCTTCATTTGCTTGTTTTGTTGGTTCTTGTGCTTCTCTCATCGATTTACTTTTGTATTTACTTTTATTGCTTTCAGTTCTCTTTCTTCTGTATTGATTTCCATGCAAACCACAAATTCACGTACCTGTCATCTAAGTGTTTTTCTTCTTTCTCTTTTGGACTTATATTCAGGCAATTTACACTCATCCTCTTTATTCTTTAAGCGCCCTCTACTTTTGAAGTTTGCACTTTCTTTTTTTCCATCGTTCTTTCTTCTGAAGCTTTCTCACACAGACGCTCACACATTCCTTTCAAGGTAGTCTTTGTGCTCTTCGCCATAGTTTAGTTTTCGGTCTTAATGGTTCATTCAACGAGTTTCTCTTGTGCGTGTTCATTTTTTTCCTCTTGTTCGCTGTCTTCCTCTTTCATTAACACACAGACACACCTCTTTGGTTTTTTCTCAGCGCTGTCTCTTTCGAAGTCGTAGATATTCTCTGCGGACCAATTTCCCTGTGAATAATCACGGCGGTTCATTGTCGAAGCGAGCGTGCTGCCAAAGTCATTTCTTCAACAGGCTGCAGCTTTATACTGAGTCAATCAAGCTGAAATATCTTTGCAGTGCCTCCTATTCGGTGAATCGTCACTCCCTCCCTATGAATATAATTACTGTGATGGGCTGCGTCTACGCCTTCTCCACAACTTTAAAAGAACTGAATTGGGTTTGAATTTGTGAGAGCTACTTTTCAAATGCTTCATTTGTGGGCTTGATTAACTGTTAAGTCGTAGCAGTGGGCTGTTTTTGTGATCGCAGACAACATTTCAGCCGTATTGGTAAAAGTCGGGTTATTGTCAAGGTTCTGGCAGACACATCTGTGTTTCAGACGACAGTTTTGCATCACATTAGCTGATTAAGAGTTTCTTGAAATTGCACCGTAGCTTCTGACTTTCTGTCTAGTCATGCAACTGCAGCAGTAACTTGTGACGAATCATAATTTGAATACAACAGAAAATATTAAAGTGAAGTATAGCAGCATTAATGAAGTGGTGGATATTAATTGTTTATGTCTTCAGGTTTGGGAAGCACCGAAAGGATGAGCGGCTGGGGGAAAAGATTGATCGTAAAGGCTCCAGCAAGTGGAGGCCAGAGGAGACGCAGGTGTCGGACGAGGAGACCATGAAGATGAGGATGGAGCAAGAAAGGTGAGGCAACTTATGGTTGGATAACGTGATATCGATTCATTAAAATCCTGAATCGATTTTTTTAATATAAATTTATTTTGCCCGAAACGCCAGAATCTCAGGTTAAACCTCACAAAATTTCAACAACCACCAAACAGCTAAACAGTAAATGAGAGCAGGTACACGGATTCTGCACAAAGACGTAAACACAGAGCGCGCACCCGCTGACGGATCGGAATCAGCGAGATGTCGCCTTTCTCACCTGACGGCACGGACACGGTCGGAGCTGAAAGCCGACAGCTCGCTAATTCTGATTTTTCGGAGGAAAAAACAAGATTCAATCCGTGAATCTTGTTTTTTCTCTCTCTGTGTCTGTACTTCAAGAACAGTTTCCCGTCTAAAAATCTGTTTTCTTTATTCGCTTGCTTATTACGCACACGTCTACCGTTGTTTACAGCGCTGTCGGCCGCTGTTTTTTTTTCTTTTACTTACTTCCGACAAGAAAGCCTCATTTCTGCTGTTCAATACTGAACAAATTTAAACTTTTTAAAATTATGCAGAAGTGCAAAATGCTCAGCTGTGTCTCTAATAAAACCGCTGTAACTTTGCTCTGCTTCACTTCAGCAGCATCAGGTAATGTTCATATGTTGATGGTTTTCTTTCGTTTTTGATCTACTGCAGAATATTTTTATGAAATCTCAGGCCAGGAAAGTTGCCTTCATGTTTTTCTGTGTTTTATCTTCAGCTACTTTGACACAAAGGCATCTGTGATGCTTACACCTTTGATAAAGTCTCGCAAGTGTTAGCTTTCTTTTTGTAGATATAAAAACATGGAAATGTACTGATGCATGATCTGAATTATAATATTTCTGACTCTCTGAGGCAAAATTTCCCGGGACCTCGTGAATCGGAATTGAATCGATTCTAGAAATCTGTGACGATACCCAGCCCTAATTACAATATAAAGTGCCTTGAGGCAGCTGTTGTTGTGATTTGGCGCTGTATAAATAAAATTGAACTGAATTGAATTGATAAGTATTTAGCTGAGTCAGCAGTTCAGTGCAGGCGAGTTGAGCTCTTCCTCATTTACATTTATAGACCCAGTTTCTGCAGGGTGAAACACAAAAAGAAAAGATTTGAAACAAACCGTATGTAGAAAAATTCTCAGACGAAGTCTCCTCACTGGGAAAAACATGAATAGTGCCAAACCCAAATTATTCAAAAGTATGTGGACACCATTGTCCACATTTTATACTTTACTGTACTTTTCTCTGGTGCTCAGCTAAGCACGTTATTATAGTTTCAAGGTTCTCTACCTGAACAGTCAATGTTTGAGCATCAGTTCGTTGGACACGTATTGGGGTTTTTTTAGTTTGGAGAATCAGAAGACTGATTCAGAGGGTTCGTTTGGACATGCATCTCACTCACAGCAGCCATCAGGCTTTGGTTCACCTCACTGTTGCCAGCTAAGCAGCTTTGTTGCTAGGCTCAGCCGCTTTTCATACCTGAACCTACAGAAAGTACTGCTTTGCAAAGGTCTCACTGCAGCACTGGAGGCACAGCTCTGTTCAGCAGCGAGCTCATGCTCACAGGTCCCGTGGGTTGCATGGAAAAAAAACACTCGCAGTAATCATTTAACTTGTAAAGATGACTCAAACTGTAGCACAACCATTATCTTTATTACATCTAAAGTTTCAGAGCCCAAAAAAAATGATGGTTGAAGCAGCACGGGATTTTCAGTTTAGTGTGAAAAATCTGAATGAAGCTGCATAAAAATTAATTGAAAGAGCTGCTTTCTCTGTTTAACAGTTTAATAAATCGATCGTCTCTGTGTTTAAATAATGACTACACGGTTAAAGAACCTGTGCCTTCTTTTGCTTTTACTACGTGGGTGCCCAAAACTAAAAAGCCTCAAGTGGCAAGTCCTTTTCCCACTGCAACCCACTCTTTCCTCACCAAAGGAAATGTCAGGCAGGCACAGTGCCAGGTTTTTGGGGGGGGGGCAGCAGTTTATAAATGCCAAGGCCATTACAGCCCTGCCAGCTAATTAAATCCCTTGCTCTTGGTGTAGGGCAAGAGTCATTACTCCCCACAGTTGCTTATTATGAAAATTTGGTTTGTAGTCTTCCTTTGCGCCTGCAGAGCAGATAGTCTAATAATATGATAATGGCTGAGTCTTTATTTTTAATTGGTTTAAAGTTAACGCAAAGGCCACGTCAGATGATTTGGTTGTTATGCTGGATATAGTTAAAAGTTCAGACTGGTCCTTTTGTGTGTTAATCCCGTCCAAGACAGACTCAAGATAGACAAGGCGGACTCACTTTTTCGTTTAATAAGAGATTGCCATACACTGAAAGTAAATACTGGACTCTGTTCAGAGATGAGTACTAGCTACTTATTTCTTGCCCTTAAATATCACAGTCACGTGTGTTTGTTACACACAACTTGGACTATTTAAGCCTGTTCAGGACTCCATTGTGTTATTTCACACGCATAAGAACACGGATGACGCAAATTACACGTAGCCTACTGTAATGCTTTTGCAATAACGTTCTGATTCAAAGTAGATTAAACTGCGTTTGCTTTTATTTCCAACTCTCAGACAAGAGGTGAAGCTTTTTGAGCTCAAAACAGAAGTAGAAGTTTACAGAACTTAGATTTTTTTTGTTGTGCTGTTAAATGAAATGTAGGTTACATTATTTTTAAACTATATTAACCTTGATTTATTAGCATCATAAATGTTGAATTAGTTATCAGCCTATTTCTAGTTGATGAAACATAAGTCTCATTAAAAGTCATACTAGAAATACTTGAAGTAAAGATGGCATGTTGGGGGTTTTTTCCTTAGGTTTTTAGGTTGAGTTGTAGATTCTCAGTTCTCTTTGTTAGTGTGAACAATTTTAGTTGTTTTGAGTTCTTGGGGCCAAAGAGGCAAAAGAAATCTGGCAAAATGGTTACAAGAGAAACCAAAAAATGTCCAGAGAGCAGTAAAAAGTTCCTGTTTGAAGCAGAAAATAAAATAAGATCATAGTATTTCTTAGGTAGGTCAATGTGTTAATTAGTTTATAATGTGTTTGCTCTTAGAGGCACTCCAACCAGGCGTGACTCATCCCTGAACACCCCAAAAGCACAAACACGCTTCTTGTTTATATTTAAGCTGAGAGATGCTGATATTGACCGAGAGATCCCTTGGAGCACATGCTCAGACTGCGGCTACCTTGGTGTTAAACAACGATCCAGTTTGCTCTATTGCCAAGCCGCTCTGCAGAGGTTCCGTTGGGAACTTCGGCACCTCACTGCAGAAGGTATCGATTGACCACTGCCAGAGGCTGTGGTTAATCCAGCTGTGATTGACTAGATGAATGGATTTCCTCACAGGTTTAATTCTCAGGTCTCAAAGGACCCTAGCCCCAAGGCAGACAGACAAACCTTGACAGACAGTTCAGATTGTGCGCTACTGGTGGAGGTTATTTGAAGAAAAGATAAATATACAGGTATGCGAATAACTGTTCAGTAGTGTCATAAATTTGTTACGTTATATTATGTTACTTGATCTAAATCGAATCGTCTTTACTAAAATTACTGTACTCGCAATACTAATGCAAGACCTCATAGTATTGTACTGTTTTACTAGAGCACCTTGCTCTCAGACTTTCTAAAGTTTCTAAAAGTAGACTAGGAGACAGAGCACTCTGTTGTGGAACAAGCTTCCACTTGACACCCTCTGTATAGTAAGATCAGCTTTAAAATGTTCCTTTTTGATAAAGCCTGTAGTTGTCGCTCTGTCAGGTGACCCTGAACCATCGCCTTAGTTATGCTGATGTAGGCTCAGGTTGCTTGGGGTCTTTCCGTGATGCACTGAGCATTTCTTCTCCACTTACATCTTTTCATTCCCTATATACAAATACTGCTTATGGTTACATTTTTTCTGTTTTTTCCTATATTTGTTTTTTTCTCCTTGCTGGCCCTCTGATCATGCTAGAGGTCTTTTCCCCTTTATAATGGAAACCCATCTTCCAACCATCGCTAAGTGCTAGCTCACAGGCTATCGTTTGATTGTTGGGTTTTTTTCCAGATCAGTCCAGATAAACGTTTTTCGTTGGGCAGCACAGCAGGTTTTGCCTTAGCCGTCTGTAGACTAAATCAGATCATGCTCTGACATAACTGTTTTAAACAGCAGTCACATGACCAGAGGTTACAAGTTCAATCTATACCACAGACTTGCTGTATATGAAGTAATTTGTCACAGTGAACTTCCCTTGACCTCAACACTTGCTCAGTACTGCTACTCTTGTTCAAGATGAACAGTGTCAGTCTAAGTGCACACACAGAAGTGTGAATTAAGGATATTTAAGGCATGCATTGTCAAACGCTTTTAGTATTAACCTTCAAAAATCACAAGTGCTTTAAAACCAACTGCAGCTAGTTGTCGCTAAATCATAGAACATTTCCACGTACCCGTGTTATCAATCTAAAAGGTCTTTCAGCAGCCATCTTGTCCTGCTGGACCTTCTCCCTTCATGTATTTCCTGCCTTTCACTGTAGTCTGTCAGTTGTGTCAGCAGTACCGGTAAGAGAACGCTTTATTACACAATGACTACAATAGCACATAATGGACCATTGTTCTGGCTTGATGTGGTAGAAAGGTCACTTGTCAAAAATTTCTTCTACCATAAAATCCCATTCTGCCATTTCTTTACCCTTTTATCTGCCGCCTCTTCCTCTCTTTCTGCTCTACATTGTTTTTATTCCCCCTCTGGGTCTTTTGCCACCTCTCATTGGATTTCTTAATGATTTACTCTACATGGTAAGAGTTCTTTCATCTGTCATTAAGGTTATTTGTTTAAGAGAAACCCTTGTCACATGCAGGTATTTTGGGATTAAGGGTAATGATATGGCGAAGTGTGGTTTTCCTTCCTGTCCCATTTCAGTCAGCGCTGCATTTGTGTTTGTGAAACATTTTAAGTGCTTGTCATGTTGACACAGACAGTCATGGTCTTTGTCTTAAAGTAACATTTCCTGCACTCTTTAAAAGTAATTCAGAAAAGTTGGACACCTTGCTGTTTTCTGGGCAATGACAGCTGTTGGTCATGTATATGTAGCTTATGTAGATGAAAAAAGATGGGTGCAGAAAAACAAAACAAACCCCAACACCACAGCTTGAACTCTCACAGGCTCTGGGGAGGCCAATCCATGATTGATGGCGTTCCACTGTGTGTTTTTTCCTATACTGGTATGCTTTCATTGCGTTGGCAACGTGTTTGGGATCCTTGTCATGCTAAAAAATGAAGCTGTTGCTAATCAGTGACTTTCCAGATGGTTTTGCATGGTGGATCAAAATCTGGCCGTATTTTCCTGTGTTCATAATTCTGTCAGTTTCGACAAGAGCTCCATCTCACCGGCTGAAATGCAGTTCCGGACCATGACAGACCCTCTGTCATGTTTTACAGATGGCTGTAGACATTCACTGTTGGATTGATAACAACTTGAGCCAAAAATGTCCATTGTGGATTCATCACTCTGTGAAACCTCTGGCCACTGATGTCAGTACAGTTCTTGTGTAGTATGACACACCTTGTCAGGGTCCATTATGAATGGCTTCTTCCTTTGAGGCCATTTCTGATGAGTCTTTGGCCAACACGAGATGGATCAACTGAAGGGCCAGGTCATTTCTCAGGTCCTGTGTCACATCTTTGCTGGATTTCTTCATATTTATTAACCCTTTAAAGCCGGTCGGAGCGGGCACGCTCCGTTTTGCATAACTATTTTTAAATCCCTGTAGAACCTGAACCGTGTAAGCTGGCGCAATATTTTTTTTTGCACATGAAACCGGAGAAGTTGTACTTACATCTTATGCCATCAGCTTGTCCTAGCTCATGGTTTCCTTCCACATATAGCTTTGCAAAAATTGCATAAAAAGCGCTTGCAGGAAGAAAAACATAACATTCCAGAAACACACTTTGCCGATCCGATCAGCTGTTCATAAAACTTCCTACATTGAAATAGACGTCAGCGCGAACGATCGCATGTCCGCCATTACCTGCCCGAAACCGGAAGTGAAGTCATTTTCGCGGAAAATGTAGTTTTTTACTTGTAGGCCTTAAAAGCCTATACTGGTGTTTTTAAAAGTCATGTTTGACTTTATGCTTAGAACTCAAATTGCACTGCTTAAAATAGTTTATTTTGATGCACATGCTGTTTTCTTTGCAAATTTGCATCATAGGATTGTTTTTCGTTTTTTCTGCAGTATATAAAAATTGGTGTATCTCAAAAATAAAACTATGAAGACACTCAAAATAAATTTCCTGTTGTTGTAAACTATTTTTTGCAACTTTTTTGTAATTAAAGTTTTGAGGGATAAACCTCTTAAATTTCTCCAAGTAGAAATATATGTAAAAAAACAAAAATGATTTTCAATTTTTTTGTAGTTTATTGCACTTTTTTGCAATTTATGTAATTATTATGGACTTACTACTATGGTAGGTCTTAAAGGGTTAAGAACATGACTCTCATCTGCTGTAAAAAGTCTTTTTTTTGTCTTTGAGGGCTCCAGTTTCCTCAGGGACATACTCCATGCTTTCAGTTAATCGAATGAATACGAGCGGAAAAACCAGCTAACGTGAAAAAAACTAACAAACATTGAAAGACTTTTACAAAACCAAGAGAACTAAGTGGGAAGAATAGTTTTGAAAAAGTCTGACAATGTAAAGGAGGTCTGACTTCCTGGAGGCAAAACGTAAAGATAGTATAGTTTTATCCGTAAGCTCATAAGAATTCAGAGTTTCTTTTTCACACAACACAGCACGAGTGTTTCAATGATGCATCCTCCTAACTCAGCAAGTGGCCTTGTTGACCCATGCAGTGCCTTGTTATGGAAAGGGGCTGCACAGAAAAGGCCGTGCGTTGGATTGGAATGTCTGGCCTTATCTTATCAGCCACTGTGCTTGTGCATACAATCAGTAGTTGCTCCCACTACTTCTGCTGCTGTTGCTGTTTCACTGATGGAAAACAGTTTTTCCTCTGGGTTTAAAGATAGATCCCTCAAGGGCCTCACTTCCTTCTGCGCTATTAGATAATCGCTGAGTCCACAAATAGCAAAGACACAGCGTGCGACTCCACAAGCTTTCAAGTTAAGCTGTTGGAATAAGTGTACGTTTTTGCCACAAATGATTGTCTACCCCCTGACCAGATTCAGTGGGGAGCCGTTGAAACCATCAAGTTCATTAACAGCCTACTTTTTAGTAGTAAAGCATTTCTGCCCACTTGGCCTTGATTTTTTTTCTTCCTTTCTTCTTTTTTTTAACACATTTTGTAGTCTCCGGTAGGGAGCCCTCGTTATTAGTTATTGTTTCATTATGCACACCATGCAATTTTTCTGGAGGAAATGTTTCAGATTTTAGCCCACTGAGTTTTCAGTGCACTTGCACCCCCTACCTTGTCACCACGGCGCCTGTCCCATTCACTTTCCCACTGCCATTAAAAAGAGGCCTGCAGAAAAGAGAGCAGTATGATAATTGGTAGTTGTAAAGCTCTGATAATTGGCAAGGCTGTAATTACGGGGGCTGCGTGATAGGTAGTCCCCCCGCTATAGAAAATAGCGTTGCCAGTTATTCACAAGATAATGGCCTGAAGAGAAAGAGCGAATGTGTGATTTTTGTGTGTGCGTGACAGACAGAAAGATGTCAGATGTGTGTCTGCGTGTGTTGTTGAGGGAGAAAGAAAGAGAAAAGCATGTTAGCTATATATTAGCACTACTCTGTGAATACAAAATGCTTCCCTTGTGCTAGGTGTTATTGGGGGCAAGAGATTGTCATGCATTGTTTATGGTATTATTCAGTGGGGAAAATTGCATAAATAATAGACTCCAGATCTTCTCTCTGTTTTGTAATGGAAAGTTAAAAAGTGCAATAACCAATCAGCAGATGTTACAATGGTTCATCTGGTGTTTTGTTAATGTGACGACTGAGATTTACAGCATCTCTCATCTAGATTGGACACGCTACAGGACTTTTTTTTTTTTTTATATACAAAGAAAAAAGTAAGGCACCATCCCAATTTTCCATGAAGCCCTACATCCGTTCTCTTTTTTTAGTTGCAGTGTGCATTTACAATTTATAGTTGGCTGCTGTCAATGGCCAGTGGAAACCAGACAACTGATCCCTTTTTTTTCTCTTTTTTTTTCACCTTAAAGTTTTAAAAAACAACAACAACAGCCACCAGGCTTCTGCCAGTGGGTCACAATGGATAAACCCATCACCCAATAGTAAATGTATAATAAATACATTTCCTGGTTAGTGGTTTTTTTTTTTTTAACCTTGATTTTTAAGAAAAAATACAAAATGCAACTGATCAGACATTGCCTAGATTTTTACTTGGGATAAACGGCAATATTATGTCTTAATATGATCATTTCAACCACAAGATTGTTATTGGATTTTAATATAAACAACATCATCTTTACTATCAGGATCCAAGCTAAGACCAGAGAGCTGCGGGAGCGTCAGGCCAGGGAACGAGACTACGCTGAGATTCTGGATATAAGTCGATCGCCGGAGAGATCCTCTGAGGAGGACCACCAGTACGCTGGCATCAACCAACTTAACAGCTCCATGGACAGTGGCCATAGTCGCCCCCACAGCCCCCGTGATGAGCACCCTCACATCCATCCACAGCACCAGCACTCCGATACCCTCTACACCCAAGTTAGCAAGGCGCGCAACGAGCGACCTCCGTCTGCAGACAGGTAAGAAGTGAACTGATGCATTTCAAGTGTTTTGTGACTCGTGTGGATTTTATTTCATTTCTCTATTATTTATTTTAGTATTGGCAAAATTAATTCATGAATACCTCTGGAGTCAGATTCCCCCTCAGAAGCCACTTCCCTCTAAGCCAGGTGACGGGCTGCCAGTCACAGTTCAGCAACCTTCTTACCTGTACTTCCAAAGTGCGGCTCACCTGTGGTATTTCAGTAAAAGGTCTGTCCAGGTCTCATTCCGCCTCGCCTCCCCAGCTCTCGTAACTCTGAGGCGGCATTATTGCACAGAGACGGCAGGCTAGCTATCACACCTGGAGGAGAAAATAATCACAGCAACAGAAGGCAGGCGGTAAATGTCAGCTCGCCGACTGCTAGACACCATGAGCTGCTCTCAGGGGGATGTGGGAATACTCGGGGGAGGCAGTGAGTGAATGGAAACCTTTGAATATCTGTCTCTTTTTCTGTCTCTCTTGACCTTTCTACCTCTCTTTCGCTGTCTTTTGTGCTCTTGTTGGTTTCACCTTATTGCCACCTTTTCACTTTTATTGCATTTCCATCATTTTCCTGTCTTCCCACGGACAATACTACCTGAGCTACTGGCAGCTCAAACCTTCGGTCTCATTAATTGAGAGCTGTCAGTCATTTTTAAAATAATCACCCAGGCTTGACATAAAGAGCCTCTTTGTCATTGACACTGTTTTGTTTCTGTAGAGCAGCCAAATGGCACCACGAGACTCCCCCGCATAACCAAACGCCAACTCCACAGCAAAGAGCAAACAAAAGCCAGATTGTTTTAAAAATCATGCAGGTCGTCAGAAGCAGAGTTCTCAGCACTGCACGCCGGTGCTGAGCTGCTCCCCAATCCTGCTCCGATCGATGAACGCGGAGATTCGTGGCCCTAAGATGGATTTGGGGAACTTGAAGCAAATTGAGGAAAACCTGCTGTGCAGCAGAAACGTAGTCTGTGCGGGCAAGTAGCTCCACAGCTGAATGAATGGGTTTGTCTTCCTTGTGGTTTTCACGCATCCCCAGATGACCTCAGCAGCCTGTGTCTACTTCAAGAGTGCCGTAGCACGTATCGATTCATAATTCATTGTGCTGCTGTTGTCACTGCACACTTCCCTCCTTTTTTATTTTTTGTGCAGTCCCTGATGTGGCACTGTATTAAGGCATGCAGATGCACAACAGAAGATGATATACTAGCATTACAGATACGAAGCCTTATTTAATTAGGTGATGGAATTCACCCGTGATTTAGGCTTTAATCATCATCATCTTATTAAAATCTGTAGCCATTTCACTCATTTACCACATAAGCAATTAATGAGGTTTTTTCTCCTCCCTCTCACTCAGACTACTGGGATTTTCTTAGTTTAATACCTCTTAGAGATGGGGAAGCATGAGTTTTGTGGAAATGCTGCTGCAGTTTAGGATCGGAGACAGGCAAATGGATTAGGCTGAAATAATTTTAATAAGCAGATTTTTTTGAAAATTAAATCTCTTTCATCAAGCAAAGATTTTAAGTCTTTACTACTTACAAATATGGAAATATAAGGATTTTCTGATTGTTTCTTTGTAAAGTTGAGTGTGGAGATTCTGGACCGTGAAAGCAAGTTAAGGGCAAAATTGTGATGGAAAGTTTGCGTGTTCTTACAAATAAAACTATGAATCAATTTGTAAAGAGACGGTCACATTTGTCAACAAATAAGGAATTAAAACGACAAATACATCCCTAAAATCATGCTCACAAAGCTTTTTTCGTTGTTGTCTCTAAGACATCACTGTTTTAAAAGAGACGTGACTCATTTGGACATCAATGTAACCAATATTGGTCTCTTCTGATAATGTAAGTGGCTCTGGCAGGTTTCAGAGCAAATAATAAAGTCTTTCCTTGCTTCAATAAAGAATTTTCTATAATTTTGCACATAGCTGATACACTGTTTCTTTTCATAATGTCCTCCTAGCTACCTATTCTCCCCCAGAACACTTGCTCTTTTCAGGAAGCTTTGATTACAGCAGTGTAGCAGCCGGGGACACAAACGTCTGAAAGATATTGTGTTCCTTTCTCATCTCCCCCGAGTATTAGAAGAATATACCTTTTGAGAGATTCGGGAAGCACGTTTCCTGTTTCCTGTCTGCCCCCTCTGCTGAACAGGAAGTGAATTAGATCCTGCAACGCCAAGCACATCGGGGTGGGTGGTAGAGTGTGTGCGTGGGGGGGCTCTCACCTGACAGAGGGGGGGGTTTGTTATTGTGGGATTCAAATGGCAGTGTGAGCTGATATCAGAGCTTGAGGATTGTGGAGATTTAATCAAAGCAATAACATGTCCTTAGAAGCAGGCAGTGAAGGAAAATGTTATTTTTCCTCCAACATTAACACTTCTCTCTAAAATGGCACGCGTGTGAAAGGTTTCATTGTAGTCAGCGTAAATGCTCGACGTGCACAGGATGTCGCTCTGTGTTGCGTTCGCTGTTTTTACATCGTTCAAACCAGGAAACTGTTTATTTGCTTGAGAAAAGCAGATTGATCTCTGACCATCTGTTAAGTTGTGCCCATTACACGCCCCAAATCATGGCTTTCAAAATGTCACAGTTGTGTTTTCTGCTTTTGTTGGTGCCGCGATGTTGTGACTGTCACAAGATTATGACTCGCAGTAAAACTGAAGAAGACAAAGCTGTGGCAGAGCGATCTAGGTTCAGCATGTTACATAAATATAATAATTATCTTTGCATGGTATCCTTTTTAACATGGCTACATTTTGATTTGCACTGAAAACACAAAGCACAAATTAAAACGCCGATCTCTGCGAAAACCATAAGATGCAGAGCAAAAACAGAACTGCATGCATCGCAATGCTAAAGTATGTAAACGTGCATAAAAAAGAGCATAATAAATCATGTGAATGTTCATGTGAGGCATGAAAATAATGTGTTGCAGTAGTCTATACGAGGCCTGCCAGCTACAGTATGGTAACCTTTATCCCAGTTGTTCTTCAAGTCACAGAATAACACAATGATTGACAGGCCATAAGACTAATAATAACACAAAAAGGGGCAAAACAGCTTAAATACAAGGCAACACGACACCGAACAAGACACAAGTCTTCCTTTTTCCTGTTACCACTGTTCCTTCTGCTGCTACTAATAGTTGCTGATCATCAGCATTGTCACCTTGATCTTCCCAAAACATGTTATCCAAACGGGTTCTAGCCAAAAGGAAATTCATCTGTAACCTCGTCTGTCACTTTGAACACAGCGAACAATAAGGCTAAAAATATTCCCGAGTGTCCAGATTAGAATACCAGAATCCCACCGCCCCCGTTAGTCTCTTAATTCCCTCTGGGCCTGTAAAACGTACTATTGGCTTTCTTAGCGCTGTCGTGCGGGTCACTCCAAGGGGAAACGCAAAAAAAAGTAGCTGCAGCTGCATAAATATCCACTGGAATTCATTTTTAATTGCCTCTTTTTCCTTCGAACAAAACACGGTCAGAAATTTCAATTTAACCGCAGTGGTGTAAAAACAAAAACAACTGAAGAGGCTGGAAGGAGCTTCGTGTGTGCCTTTGGGAGCCGTCTACCGTTTCCTTTGCTTTAAGGAAAATGACCACACAGTCCTATAGGCTCAAGCAGTCTGCTGCAACAAGCCTGAAACAAAATTTTGCTGCTTTCAGGATAAAATGTGTTTCTTAGATGTCTCTTATTTATATCCACAGCCGCATATTTTAGCGAGACAGCATATTGGAGCACATGATGTTTTAGTTGTTACTCTGTGGTTTACCGCGTAGGTGGTACGGTGTAGTATCAGGTTGAAAACAGTCTTTTTTTTCTTTCTTTTTTAATGTTTTTGTTTTGGCTCTCAACCAAATTGCATAACCTCACTGCTGAGACATTATTTTCTTTCTTTTGCTTTCCGAAGCCTGCCAAGCTAAATATTGTTCAAAGTGTGGTGATTTTATCCCCTCTCCCCCAGTGTTTTCCCCGCTATTGCGACTAGTGCTTTTAGTATTTATACTTGGCATCTGGTAACATTTGTAGCCTAGGAAGCGTAATTAAGAAGTAATGGGAGACAATATCCCGTGAAAGTTTTACCAGCTCACTCACTGGGTGCTTCTTTTGTGTTTACTGAAATTAATTACCTGAATTCAGTGAAAACATAATGTAGACGGCATGCTTTTAAGCAGCTTTATTAGCTCTCGACGTTTGCTGTATCACACTCTGCCCCTGTTGTGTGAGAATAAGTGTGCAAAGAGCCAAGTGAATTAGCAACCATTGTTTTATTCCCCTCCCAACTACGAGGCAGCAGTGAATGCTGGGAAGGCTCCGAGGGATTTGGCGTGATTTGATTCTCCACATTTTCCGAGGAGGCGGCGCTCTTATTGAATCGGCTCCATTACATTTCATCTCCACCGGGGGAATAAGAGGCCGCAGAGGGAGCACGCGCGGCCGTGTTGTATCGCAAACGCAACAGAAACGGCAACGTGCACAAACAAATCGACAAGTACTCACCTTGCAGCTTTTTATAGGTTGATAAGATGAGGTGTGTGTGTGTTTGCACCTGCGTGCATTTACTATTGGCTTCATGTGTTTTCTGTGTACATGTTATTTAGTAATGCGAATCTCTGCTGGTGGTTTTGTTGTCTTTTGCCTAGTTCAGATGCAGGTGCTACTCCTTCTGTTGGGTTTTGCTCGTGTGCACGTGTGTTTGCAAAAAAATAAACCAACTTTTTCCCCAAAGAGTGAGGGTGACAAGTCAGAGCTGTGACTCAGAGATAGAGAGTGATGGCAGGTGTGCAGCAGCATGCAGTGAATACAAAGCCCCTGCCTTTTCTAAACCTCTAAAAGGATTTCTGTTGTTGGTGAAGTGAAACAAGAGCTAGAATTAACCAGCATTGTGGCCCCATTGTGTCTGCGTTCCTGAGTGCATATGACAGCGTTGTTACATTTTCGTTACCACTCGGGGGTTTTGCACAAGTCGCTTAGTCATAGTT